ATGTTAGTTTTGTAAATATAGATTGTATTTTTGAAACAAACATGTCATAATCCTTAAAATTTTCATGTTTTATTTGGGTTTTCAAAAAGAACTCTAAATATAATTTATCATTAACTTCCTACTATATAAACTAAATTACATTCTTTTTTTTTTAACTTCTAAACACATTATAACATTTAAAAAATAGGAGAAATATTCTATAAAAAATTCTAACTCTAATTGTTTTCATGAGCTTTCTACTATATTAATCAAAAAACTTATATTCAATATTTTTGAATTTGTAAACACATTATCAACTTTTTAAATAGGTAAAATACTATTTTATGTTGCATATTTCTTCATTTCATCTCCATTTTAAATTAGAAATGTTTCTTTAAATTTTATCACTAAGTTATCACATACTTAATTTTAATTAATTAATGTATTTGTGTATTTTTCTTAGTTTTTTTTTAAAATAGGAATATATGTAAAGAAATATGAAAAGACAAATATTAAATAAATATTGTAAATATAATTTATTGTTTTTGTGCTGATGTGGACACTCTAGATGGAGAGAGCAATTCCCTAATTATATATAAGATTACATTAATAATTAATCTGCATTAAATTGTATTATATGCAATTGAACGTAAAATCTTTTAGTGTAAAAATTTAATGAATCTTTGGTTAAACACTGGACGGAAAAGAGTTGCACTATGTTTTATAGCTTCTTAAACAAAAACAACGAATTCTAAATTCTAAATTTAGATTATTAAAACATGATATCTAGTTTTCTAAACAAAATTATTTAGCTATTTTATATTCTTAATACAAGTCTAGAATATTTAGACACATGTGGTGTCAAATACCCAAACATGTGGTCTCAAATTCTATCCATTATAATTCACGAAAGATGGCACAACCTACTCTACGTGGATTATGGACAATTTTACCTTTGACACGTGGAACTAATACGTCTATTTACACTATATTGAATACGATGGGTGACCTGCGCTTCGTGCAAGGATTTAAATTGTTGTGTTGATTTTATTGTTTTTCACAACTTTATTTTAATCTTATGGTTCATTATAATTTCAAAAATGTCATACACATATTAATTAAATATAATTATGGTTACACAAAAATTTTAAAAACTAAATATAATGAAGGTTATGCAAAATTTCTGAACCATCATTTCTCATTCCTCCCATTTTTTTTTTTTTTTTTTTATCATGTCTGCTATTTCTGATCTCGTTCGTCATGTCCGTCCCCGCCCATACAATCCCGTCCTAACTCATTCTGTTCCATCCCGTTTTGTCTTGTCCCATTCCGTTTCTTTCTGTCCCATCCCTAAATATAATTAGGATTAGGTGAAATTCACTTCTTGTTCCATCTCATTATGTTTCTTTTCATCCTGTCTTTTTCGTCATATCCGTCTCATCCAGTCTCATCCTAGTTTATTTATTTCTTCCTGTCTTGTCCTGTCCCATATCGGTCTTTCTGTTTCTTTCCTTCCCATCCCTAAGTATAGTAAGAGGTAGGGAAAATTTACTTCATATTCTGTTCTGTTTCTTCTCATCCCGTTCATTCTCGTCTTGTCTCATTTCATCCAAAATCTATATTTGTTTGAAGATAAAGTAAAGTAGAACCTCTATAAAGTAATACTCGATAAAATAATAAACAGTATTAGATAATAAATTTCTCCGGTGCCAAATCGAGCTAATGTAAAAAATAGCAAAATGCAATAAGATGATAAGATAATAATATTTTTGAAACTCGTATGTAAAAATACAGTCCCAATAATAAGCTAAAATAATAATTATAAAACTTATGCATATATATCTAAGGAAATTTAGTAGAATATGACTCTAATGTAGTTTCTATGAAAGTTGGATTCTCGTTGGAGATCATCTCAGATCTTTTTTATTGTATCAACTAGGTTTGAACCCCCGTGCAAGCGCGGGGTTGTTTGTGATAGTTTTCTGTTTAGTTTTATATATACTTTATCTCACATTGCACGTCATTTTATTTTATTTTATTAGGATGTTAACACCCCACTTTATCTCGAGTTTTCTATTTCAAACATTTTAGCATGTTATAAATATTATGTTTGTTTACTTCTGTTAGACTATAAACATATATATATTTGACTCAACGTTAAAATTTGTAAGTATAATGTAAAATCGCATTTGCACCGAAATAAGATGAAAAAAATAATATATATACTTTTTTACATATCTACTTTGTTGTGGTAGCATATGAGCCTCATGACCATTGATTATTTTCTATTATGTTAGTTTTGTAATTGAATATATTTTGAAACAAACATATCACAATCCTTAAAATTTTCATGTTTTTCACTGCAATTAAATTTACATATAAAAATTCGACTTCTATTTGTTTTAAAAAGCAAACTCTAACTCTAATTTCTCATTGGTTTTTTTTATTATCTTAATTAATTTATATTAAACTTTTTAACTTGTAAACACATTATAACATTTTGAAATAGGATAAATCCTTTTAATAAAAAGGTAAATATATACCATTTCAAGTTAAATATATTTTTACTTATATTCAAACTTTTTGATAACTTTTAACATCAAGTTATCACATACTTTATATTAATTAAGTAATTTAGTTGTGTATTTTTCTTAGTTTTATTTATATTTAAATATAAATATATGTAAAGAAATATGAATAGTCATGTATTAAATATCTTAAAAACAATTTAATTAACTTTTTTGCTGATGTGGATAGCCTAGATGGAGAGAGCAACTCCCCTATTATATATAAGATAATTTCTAGTGGTGTGTTCATTATATGAAATATATAACTAACAAAGTCTAAGAAAAATTTGTATAAAAAACTGAAAAAAATATATTTCTATAAAGTGTCTTGTTTTTGATAAAATATTTCTATAAAATAATAATTTTATCGATAAAAAATAACTCTATAAATAATAAACTTTTAAAGTCCCAACATTATTGTTTTATAGAAGTTTTACTGTATGTATCATAAATGATTGTTGTTCACAATTTTTTTGTGTGGTTAAAGACCTAAAGGTGTTGTTCACCATTCTTTAAAACATATGTGTAATGATTTTTGTTTCAACTGAATTTGGTATATATATGAGTTAACTCAGCACTACATATTTTATAATTATTTAATCGGTAACTATTTCACATTTAGATAGGAAATAAAGCAAGCTAACATACAACATACGACCGCTAACTCAAACACATGAATGTTCTATAAAAAAAATTGGTTCCTTTATGTTTTATCTTGTTCTTGTTGTGTGATTACTTTTTATGTAAATAGAGGCCTGAAGTACTATATATAGTAGTTCACTATAGATACCATATGTTGAAACCATCGAAGTTAAGCGTCCTCTTATCGAAATACACTACCCACACCAAAAAAATTAAAAAAGGGGACTTGCGTACCATTAACCAAAAAAGAGGCCTTGGTATATCTTTAAACTACTTGATTGTAAATAAACATCATGTACGTTATATGTCAGCAATTAAATAAAGATCAGAATTCTGATGCCCTGCTCTGTGTTTTTTCCTATTGATTCTCAAAGCAGATTGTTACAACATTTTTATTTGAACAGATTCGATTGTGCTGCTCTTACTTACACTTGTCTTCTTAAACTTAAATGGCCAGGGAACTGATTTTGGAATATAGGAAATCTGTTGAAGACATTTTGAAGATAGAGCCTTAGTTACATATTTCTCCCAAGATGTTTTGAATTAGTCATTTTAGCAGTTTAATTGTTAAAGAACAAGAATTTGTAATAAGTGTACACCAACGAGAACTCTCAGATTGTTTAAGAAATCAGAGTATCTTAGAAATCAAGTATACTTCCTTCAAAAATTAATTAAATCCCAAATACAAACATTATACAAGTTCCCCTCATATCAAAATAGCAAGCAAAACTATAAAATCACTGGAGAGAGTGACATAAGTCCCATATTTATTTTTGAACCCTTAAACATTTCGAGTATTTGAATTAGGCCTATTTGAATTACTAGGTATTTTACCCGCACTACACGCGGATTCCGTTTTTATATTTTTTTCTATAAAACATTTATGAATTTTCTAATTTTCAGTTCTTTAAAAACTTCATTAATACAAATACTTTACAGTTTTTATTTTATTCTTTTTAATATTTTAAAAAATTTCTTTTATAATTATAATTTCTTATTATTAAATTTTTTATATTTTAATTTTAATGAATTATTTTAATTATTTTATAATCAGTCACAACAATAAAAAAGAATTTAATTATGATAGTTTCTTATTAAAAAAAAAATATTACAAATATTTCTCACATTTTCACAGTCCGGTCATCGGAGAAGTTACATTAGTTCTTAAATTTTATCTTCTTAGCATGATCATAGCAAACCAATGTTCTTATTCTTCTTCATGGTGATCATAGCAAACCAATGTTCTTATTCTTCTTCTTTTGTTTACTTTTCTTCGATCTATTTTTATTTTATTCGTTTTCTTCTTCTTCTTTGATTTCTTCTTTGTTTTTACTCTTTCTCTTCAGTTTCTTCGTCTTTACCGTTTATTATTATGTTATTTTGTATGTTTTTTTATTTTTGATTAATTTTTTTGTCCTCATTTTTTGATATCTTTATCTTCAATTTCTTTTTAGGTTCTTCTTATTCTTTGTGCTCAGTTATTGTTCTTATGTTTCTTCTATAATTAGTTTAGACGGTCAAAGGTGCTAAAGTTTTGCTATATATATTCTTTTTTAGCTTCTTTTTTTTGAATTATTCTCCGCTGAAAAGTTTTCACGACTTTTTCCATTTTATAAATATATTTATTATAATTTCTTTAATTTAATCTTATGTAGAATAAAATTTTCACTATCTTATACATTTTGACCAAACTTAAAAAATGAAAAAGTTTCACATAAACAAATAAGGTAAAGATGGTATAACTACATATTCACACATATAATGAACAATGTCTAACAATAATATAAATATTTTACAGAAGAAAAAACTGATATGCTAGGGCTTGGGAGCGCTGACGGCGCTAGGGTTTTGAAGGAGACAGATGCTACGATGGTGGATATCCCGGAGCGAGGTCCACCACCGGGTAAGCCGCCGGATGTCACGTCCTCGTGGGCTTCGATGGTTACGGGACGCTGGGGGTCGACTGAACCCGGAGAGCTTGGTCACGGAGAAGTTTGTTGCGGAGAGGCTGCGAGTGGAATTTCCCATTGGGACAGATGGAGAGCCGGTGATTACGATTGGTCAGGAGGTGTTAGAGGCAATGAATGGGCTGTGGAACCAGTGTATTATCATGAAGGTCTTGGGTCGGAGTTTTCCGATTGCCGTGTTGACGAAGAAATTGCGTGAGATGTGGAAGCCGAAAGGATTCATGTCAGTTCTGGATCTTCCTCGGGGTTTTTCATGGTTAGATTTGGAGACGAAGAGGAGTATCTATCAGCATTAACAGGAGGCCCATGGAAGGCGTTTGGTAGTTATCTTATGGTTCAAGCGTGGTCGCTGGAGTTTGAACCAATGACGGATGAGATCACCACAACTCCGGTATGGATTCGCTTATCCAATCTGCCTGTCAACTTTTATCATCGTTCTATTTTGTTGGGGCTTGCTCAAGGCCTCAGCAAGCCAATAAGAGTGGACCAGACAACGCTCAATGTGGAAAGGGCTAGGTTTGCTAGAGTCTGTGTGGAAGTAAACTTACGACAGCCGCTTAAGGGCTCGGTGATGATTAATGGAGAACGGTACTACGTTTCATACGAAGGACTTACAAATATTTGCTCTGGATGTGGAATCTACGGTCATCTGGTCCATTCATGTCCGAGAAGGATATCTCCGACAACGCAAGCGGTGGAGTCGACGAGGGAGATGAGTCTGGTCAGAAGCGTAGACTCGGAAGAAGAGAGTTTTACAACGGTGAGAAAGCCACGGCAGGCTGGCGGAGGCGCGCAACGGCATGCGGGAAATGGAGTTGGGAACGCCGGCGAGGATCACGGCCGTTTATTGAAGGAGATTCCCCAGAATCAGAATTTAGGAAATGTTTTCTTATCTAATGCCTTTGAACGATTGAGGGAGGATACGGATCTGATTGATAAGGAAGTGGTGGAGGAAGCAAACAAGGAAAATAGCATTCAGTTGGCAAGATCAACAAATGGAAATGAGAATATTTGGATGAATGAGGCCAGAGTGGGCGGGAAAGATGGAGGCTTGAATCGGGCTAGTAAAAGAGCTGGGAAAGGACGTCGTGCTGGACCCACTAAGGGCGTATCCACTAATGGGCCGCTAAGAAAAACTAGAAACAGTCAACCCACAAGAGGCCTAATCTTTGGCCCAACTAGTCGCGAGCCGGAATTGTCAGCATCGGATAAACGACTGAGGGTTGAGCGCGTGGAGAGGGGGGATCGGAAATTTGTTTCACGGAGGCGAGCAAAAATGAGGGATCGATGGCGATGGTGGTCGGAGATGACAAAGATTGACAGATCCAATCGGAATCCATGGTCGACGAGGTCGGGCTACAGAGCAATCAGGTTGAGGACGCTTCTCCGCATAGCGGCGAGAAGGATTTGGGAACAACGTAACTCGTCTCCCTGGTAGTTCGGTGGAGAATCTCAAGTTTTATCATGAATTGCTTGTTTTAGAACTGCCGGGGGGGGGGGGGCGAATAAACCCAACTTTCGAAGGTTAATACGTTACATCTTGAAGAAGTGGTCGACGGATTTGTTAGCGATTTTTGAGACGCATGCTGGTGGAGATCGAGCAAGCAGAATTTGCAGGGGTTTGGGTTTTGAGAACTCATACAGAGTTGACGCAGTCGGACAAAGCGGGTGTATTTGGCTCCTCTGGAGGACTGATATAGGAGATGTGGTGGTGGAAGATGCGTCAGATCAGTTCATTCATGCAAAGATCACGAATGGTGTGGAGGTATTACATGTTGTCATTGTCTATGTGGCGCGCTCGACGAGCAAAAGGAGCGGTTTATGGGACCAACTACGGAGTATTATCGGTGGGATTGATGGTCCATGATAAACTAGAAATAGGTCCTTTTCTCTACTGCAAATTATCAGTGATGAAGATTGTAATATAAAGGATTCGAAATCCAGAGGACCAGCGTTACACTGTGAAACTAGGAGATTTAAAACAGAGCTAAGACAAAGATGATTGGTTTTAGTAACAGGTAACGAATGTAAACGATGATGTAATTCAATTAAACAGGGACTAGACCAAGGCAATTCGCAGAGATTCACGGTTAACGACCAAACAACTATTCAGGGCACAGATGATGAACAGGTCTCGAACTCAAACAAAATATGTCAATTCACTTTCGCGATAATGACAACTTTATCTAACAACCTAGATGTCTAAACTGTCGTTTGAATCTAGCAATTGATGACAAGCAATGCGCACAGGTTCGATAAGTTCACGAATCGCCTTAGCATCAACTTTCGCAGGCTAAGGACGATTCGCTCACCACAGTTCGTTCTAACAACCTATTGCACTTTTGATGAACAGGTAATCTGAGATCAGAGATCGAATGATCAGATCGATCTAAGCAGTAATGCAACAATGGCGAAGACAGTATTAAAGCCCTATCTGTATTCAGTCAAGTTAACACATGAATCCCTTTGAAAAGCCTAGATCTAGCAGGGTGACTACTCAGACATGGTGAAACAGCAAACAATACTGAAACTGAATGTCATTGAATCAAAATAGAAAATAGCAAAAAAAAGGGTTCAGAAATCTTCTCCAAACTGTGAAAACAAGGTTTGATCTCTTCTCCCTCGGAAACAATGAAAACAGTGTAAACTCTGAAAAACGGCGTAGCCTAAACAATGGCTAAAGATAGGTCTAAATAGCTCCGGGGTCGACTTCGGTTCAATCCGGTTCGCTGTGGTTCGATCAAGTCGGTTTGCACCAAGTAGATCGAACGGCTGTGATATCATCTGACCGGGATTGATCGAACGGCTGAGACAGAACGGGATCGATCGAGCTTCGTCGCTCTGCATGGGATCGATCGAGCTACTCCCTTTGCATGGGATCGATCGAGTGGGTAGCACGCAGGGGATCGATCGAGCTCGTAGCGTGCAGCAGGTCGATCGATCACCTCTCGTATGATCGATCGAACCTATCTTGTGGGTCGATCGATCTTGTGGCGCTCGATCGAGCTCCTTTGCTCCGTTTTGCCTGCTTTCCCCTGTTGTTGGTCCATGTGACCAAAGCTCTCCCTGGAACGTCTTTAGACCTGAAAAGACTCGATAAAGACTAGAAAGACTCGATAAAACTCGTGAAAACAAGTGTTAGAATGCGTCAAATACGCAAGATATCAACTCCCCCGGACTTGGTCTTTTGCTTGCCCTCAAGCAAACATAAATTCCAAGAATAGGGAAGAAGTTTGAAAACGCGGGAACTCACAAATCATCAGCAACCATACCCCGAAGGATCATCAGTAGACCTCAAAGGACAAGGTTCGGTCAGTGCATAATCACTGTAGTCCCCTTGAAGTCTCGCATTCCTGATCCCGTGATGAACCTCCATCCTGCAGAAACTCAAGCTACACATTGGTTAACTCTCTACATTCATTAAGATTTGGCGTGGACCTCTCATCAAGAACATCATACAGGGTCGACGGTGTTGGGTATCAAAAGGCCTGTTTTGGTGAGGTTAAAGTGTTTAAGGGTTACCAGATACGCCGGAGGATGCATGATATCGCGCAAAACAGCAAGAGAGAATGGTTCTGTTGATAGCCACATTTCCCAACCACTTCACTCTTCAACTCCTTGTATGTTGGATTTTATCCAGAACAGCTCTAACTCCCAATTCGCCTTGATCGGTGGTGTTCCTTGGAGGTATTCGGTCGAGCTTGACATTTTATTGAACCACTAGTTCCTTTCCTCAAGTTTTTCTGATTTTTTTTTTTTTTTTTTTTTTTTGAGGGGAACTAGTGTCAATGGCTCGTAAATGTTACCGTGTATTCGTGCTTCTCCAAGGAACGACCATCAGTTCGATCGATTCAGGCTCCATACTCCACCATCACTTCCCATTCTCAGTGTTGTAGATGAACACTCGTCTTGAATGTGGTTGGGAAGCTGTGTCGAACCTTTCTCTCCGACGTTTTTGCACATATCTGCATATATGACAAAAAGAACAGAGTGCATGAAGTCAGAAAGAAGGTAAGGCTCAAGGTGGGGTACCAACCAAAGATGGGCTGGCCACTCAGGATCAACAGAGAGTGGTAAAATGAATAAGAAGTCCTGAGTGTATGGTCCGTTTCCCTGCTATGACATTCCGAATGAGAGGTAATTGATGTCAGATTAGTGGTCCAATAGCATTAGAGTCAACCAAATGTTTCACCAAAATCTCTGCAAAACGAAAATTCCTGGGGGAAGTCTGACCAAAAGGGTAATCCAGCTTTTTACACATAACAAACCCTGCAAAATTGGTCACTAGATAGAAAGAATTCAAGAGCACAAATGGTTTCATCAGATAAGTTTATTCCCAACAAGTTTTTGACTCAATAAAACCTGACTCAAAGAAAACATCAAAATGACTCAAGGTGAAACAGAAAACAAAAGAAAGAAAAAGACGTTAGTAAACACAAAGACCCTCCCCCGGACTTACTTCACACCGACCCGGTGTGAAAAGAAACCAAGGAGAGAGTTAAACAGACTCAATAAAAGAAAAAGAAAAGGGAAAATGGAATGATACAGTGGTGGTGGTCGGTCGAGTGGCGTCAGGAGAGAGCATCAGCGGCGTCCGTAGATGAAGTCGTCGAGATCCTCCTGCATGCTCTCCTGCGTGTAAGTAGGGACGGTGGTAGGCGCAGCTCGCTCGTGGTGTAAGGCACGTACTGGTCCGGCGGAGCTCTCGTCGGCGGTGTGTGGATCTGTCGGCGCTGTCGGCCTCGAAGTGGAGCTGCATCGCCTGAATGGCAAGTCTGCTCAGCTCCTGCGCCTGATGGTCTCGCTGTCTGCGGCTCTCCAAAGCGCCTCTTCCGCTGCTGTCGCGGCTCGAAGGAAGAGTGTCGTGGTGGCTCAGGAGGTAGTGGTCGTCCGCCGGTGGTGTCGTGGTGTGGCTCGTCGTCGTCCTCAGAGGGGATCGCCTGGCGTGGACCGACTGCGGTCCTGTGGACACCTCCTGAAGCTGAGGCAACACAGCTCAGCTTGTCCTGCATGGCACGGATCTGATCGGCCATCTTCTTCACCTTGCTCTTGAGCTTGCTGGTGATCTTGTCCTGCGCCTTGTTCCACCGCTGAAGAATGCCGATGTGCTGGTGAGCCGCCTTCAGTCCGGCGGTCTGTCTGGCGGTGGTGGCGTAGCCGGCGAAGTGCAAGTGCTCGAGCTCGTCCGTCTGCGTGGTAGTCAAGCTCGTGTGACTGAGGTGTGGCGTAGTCTCTAGCGGTCGGCGATCTCCGGTGTAGAGAGCAGACTGAGGTGGGTTGAACTCGACGTTGGACCCTCCTCTGATCGTCGTCCAGCTGGGGCTGGGGAGCAACATGCGGGAAGCGCCGAGCTGAACGTGAGTGAACTGGTACAGGAGTCGGCTGGCGTCTGACGTCTTCTGCAAGAAGACGCTGTTCCTCAGGTACTCGAGATCGAGCCTCTCGGGTGGTGCGACCTCGTCCTCTCTGTCAGGTGTAAAGCCGACGGCGCGTAGAAGAGGTGTGACCAAGCCGCCCATCCGCAGTGTGCACTTGTGCCGGATGGTCCTGTTCCTCGAAGCCCAGTCCCTGTAAGAGCGGAGCTGGCTACAAGGGCGACCGTGATGCCTCCGTGGGACCTGCTGCCTCGGAGCTGGGTCCCGTTGATCAGTCTCAACGGGATGCCTGTGAGTGCCACGTCGATCATGGCCATCTCTGTCTCTGTGACGTTCCCGGTGGCCTGTCGGGAAAAGAGCGTGTTGGCGATCGCCTTGTGGAAGTAGCGGACCGGCGGGCTCCTGATCTGAGCGGACTTCGCACTTGAGGAGAAGTACTCCCCAAACGCGATCGTCCCCCAAAGTGCGGACATCTCGTCGCGGTCGACGTCGAGGCCTAGACGGTTGCCTGGCGGCAGAAAAGAGCTCGGTCGATCTCTCTGTATGAGAGATGGTGTCTCCGTCCAGTGGCCCAGAATGTGATGTACCCGTCACTGCCGTCGGTGTGGTCTTGCCGGCGATGCAGGGCTCGTGCTCGAGAGTGGCAAGGAAAAGGCAAGTCGCCTTCCGGTAAGCCTCGTGCTGCTGGAACATGACTCGGGATCCCTAGGTTTGGAACATCTCGTCGATGTCCTCGTCGATGCGGAGCGTCTGCATCGTGCCTCTGTCGGCATACCGCGTCCCGGCAAACTTCATGTCGAGGAGGGTGCGGAGACGCTGCATCTCGATCTCCGTGACAGTGTCCTCGGGCTCGTCGTCTCCCGGGTCTCAGGAAAATGGTGCGTCCTGCATCGTCGAGTCCTCCACGAAGTCGTCATCGGGCTCGACGACGGGTCTCTTCCCTCGCGCTATCTCCTCTCGCCGGCGTGAGTATCCGGCATCTCCTCTGTTCCTGGTGGTGGGCCCCGGGCTGTCGGCGGGCGGGTGAGTTGACGGGTCGGGTCGACCGGATGGGTGGGTCGACCCGACGGGTTTTCCTGTTTTTTTTTTTTTTTTTTTTTTTTTTTTTTTCAAATTTTCAAAACAAAGAAAACAGAATTAGCGGGAAAATCAAATTGAAAAGAGAGTATGTACACTTACCGGTGAGTTGCCTCCCACCAAGCGCTTGGTTTAAGTCACTAGCTTGACTTGAATGCCCATTAGGCAGAAGGTGGATCACTGAGGGGAACAGATTCCCTCTCTGTGATGTTTGTATCTGTAAGGTACGGCTTGAGTCGTTGACCATTCACCACGAAGTGTCCACCAGACTTGTCCCATAGCTCAAAGGTGATATACCTCTATTTTACATGCTTTTTATATGGTTTTTAATGGCTTTCTGATCTAAAAAGGTAGTTTTTATGTATTTATAGTACTTAGAGTCTAAACAGGTAAAAAGATGCATTTTGGAGCAAAACACAGGATTTGGACTTCAAGACCACTCCAAGACGTAGCATCAGCTTAAGAAGGGCCTTAAAAACATTCTACTCATTAGACTTCATCAAATCCAGTTCGAGGAGATGCATACATGAGTTATCTTTGCAATTCAACTGGAATCAATCAATTTGACCGAGTAGATTGGGAGATATCTCTATTTCCATCACGATCGACCGAGATCATCACATCACAGCCGACCAGACCGTGCGACCTGGGAAGCAAAGGACCGCGCTCGACCCGATCTCCGCGAACAAGAAGCCCACTTATGCAGTTTTGACTTTCTCAGCCCAATTAACCTAAACCGACTTGTGAAGACCTAGGGCACTATAAATACACTTTTTTAGCCTCATTAGAAGAGAGAGCCGCATTAGTTTTAGAGAGTTTACATTGATTTCGTTTTAGAGCTTCATGGGAGAAGATCTCACCTTTGTAACACTATAGAGGAGATTTCTAAACCCTTTTACTTTCTATCAAGTTTTATTATGAATTCTTCTTCATCTCTATTGCTTGATCTCTGTTACTATGCTTGAGTAATCTTCCTTGTTGGGTTTAAGAGTTTTCAAAGGGTTTTCATGGATTGATTGTTAGGTTGCTAGATTAGGGTTTTATCATTAGTGTTCTTCATCTAAGTTTGTGCTTATTGCTTATAGCTTGATTGACCGTCTAAGCTACTGTTCTTAAGTAGATTTACTTTCTGACCGTTTGTTAAATCTCTTGAATCAACTTAGATGAGCAAGGCATAGTAACCTACGGAAGTAGAATTGCAAGGCTTTGTGAACTAGACCTACGGAAGTAGTGCTATCGAATTTGGAACTGTTCTTACATGTTTAATCTCTTGATTACCTGCGGAAGTTGTGTGATTTAGGTTGTTAGACATAGTAATTGGCACTGCGGAGTAGGTCAATTATACTTATTGATTCGAGTTCTAGAACAAAACTATTGATTTCCCTATCTATTTGCTTGATCCAATCTATGAAACCTTGAGAATTCTCTAATGCCCAATGCTTTCTTCTATTGCTTTCACCTTATTTACTTTGTTTTGCTTTGAAACCGTGACAACAACAAACCTCCATACTTGAGTCTTAGCTTGATTCGAATCTCATAAACTCATAGTGTAAACTTATCTGGTCCTTGTGTTCGATAACCCGTTACTACATCTGACCTGTGCACTTGCAGAATCAGGGATAGGAATAGGTAAAACCTGATCCCGCATCAAGTTTTTGGCGCCGTTGCCGGGGACCAATACAGTTGCCTTTGAGTTTCGGATTAGAGTCTAGTCTAGGATAGCTTTAATTTTCGTTTTTATTTCTTGTTTTTGTTTTTCTTGGTTTTTGTTTTTATTATTGTTACTTTTCTCTATCTCTTTGTGTTTCAGGTTAGCTTGAGGAAGAGATAGGACCTCTTGAAGAAGATATCACAATGGATCCTCAAAACCGCACCATTGGAGAGTTTGACTCACTAGACATCTTTTTCACAAACCGCCAACCTATATGCCCTTCACGACCTACTGGAGAGTTCAAGATAAGCTCTAAACTCATTGCTTTGGTGGAGCAGCATCAGTTTCGTGGCCTAGAAGAAGAGCAGCCCATTGATCATATTGAGAAGTTTGAAGAAATCTGCGCTACAAGGAGATGTAGTGGAGTTTCTGAGGATTACTTGAAGTGTACTTTATTCTCTTTCTCTTTGGTTGAGAAGGCATACAAATGGATGAGGGCTCTTCCAGCAGGATCAATCACTACTTGGGATGAATACAAGAGAGCTTTCTTGAAGAATTTCTACCCAAAAGAGAGATTAAAATGGATGAGAAGAAGAATCTCAGAATTTCGACATGAGGCACATGAATCATTCTTTGAGGCTGTTTCACGGTTCAAGGAGTACAAGAGAGAGTGCCCTCACCATGGTTTTACAGAGATTGCTTTGCTAAACTTCTTCTATCAAGGAGTTGATGAGAAATTCAAGATGGCACTCAACATCGCAAGTCAAGGGGACTTCATGACTAATACAGTTGCTCAAGCCAATACTCTCATTGATAACTTGGCTGCAAGCAACAAATATTCTTGCTTGGACTATGAGAAAAACGTGGAGCACATCAAGCCAAGTTCAGACTTTTCAGAAATCCTTGAGCTGAAATCAATGGTTGCTCAATTTCTCAAGAACCAGCAAAGGGATGCATACCAATGTGAGAACATGGGAGCTTCTCATGGTAAGGATAAAGAGGAGTGTAATGGTGATAACTCTCATAAGCAGCAAGGAGAAGTCAACTACATTGATGCTAGAGAGGAAAGACTTGAAGCTATGATGCAACAGCTAATGGAAAATCAACAACATATGATGGAAAGACAAGAGCAAAACGCCCAAGAGATTGAAAACCTTGAGTCAAAATGGCGAAAGACTATGGTCATCTCAACAGAAAAGATGATGAGATATTTGCAAAGCTCTTTGATCTAACCAATCATGTGAAGATGCTTGAGGTGCAAGTTGCTCAAATAGCAGAAGGTATGAAGAGGCAAGAGGGTTTTCTTCCAAGTAAGACTGAGTTAAATCCAAGAGTTTGCAAAGTTATCACAACTCAGAACAAGGACGTGGTCTCACCAGCCCCTAGAGATCATTCAACCCTCAAAAACCCATTGGAATGGCCTGAAGATGATGAGCCAATCTACAAGGGACCTCATCAAAGAAAGCTGCATAAGATGGAAGATCCAGGGCAATTTGTTTTCCCATGCACAATCAATGGTATGGATTTTATTGATTCCCTCTGCGATACAGGAGCTAATGTGAATGTTATGTCTAAGCTTATAGCAGATGAGCTTGGAATAGTTGACATTAAAGACTCTCAAACATCACTGAAGTTTGGAAACGCCTCTACTATTACCCCATATGGCTTTGCTCAAGATATATTGGTACAAGTGGGAGGTTGTCTTGTTCCTACAGATTTTCATATTCTAGAGATGAATGAGGAACCCCTAACGCCATTGGTTTTTGGTAGTTCCTTCCTTGCAACAGTTGGAGCTAATGTGGACTATCCAAACCAAAGAGTTTCTTTCTCTAGAGTAAAGAAGAGAGTCTTTTATCCAGCAGTCCCTACCAAGAGCTCTTATTGTATAACCATTAGGAATGGCAGCAGATTGAGTTTAGACCATGGAGAAGAGAAGGAGAAGCCTCAAAACGTTTCCAAGCAAGCTCTTTACATAAGATCTTATGAAGTTACCAAATCAGTGAACTCTGATCATGAAAGTTGCTTAAGAGACAAGGTTTCGACTGTGATGCCTAAAGAGTGTGATGCAGATAGTTCTAAGGAAGTTTTCCACCTTGAGAGACGTCCTAGAGCACCTCCAAAACCAGCACCATCCGACACTCCTTGGTTTAGATACATTGCCAACTATCTTGCTGCTGATCATCCACCACCCCAATTCTTTGGCTACAAGAAGAAGAAATTCTTACGTGATGTTAGAAGGTACTTTTGGGACGAACCTTATCTTTATAAACATTGTTCTGATGGTATGTTTAGAAGATGTATTCCAGAAGAAGAAGTCCCAGGAGTTCTCTTTGCTTGTCATGGATCTGACTATGCAGGACATTTTGCTACTAACAAGACTGTTGCTAAGATCTTGCAAGCTGGTTTTTGGTGGCCCACCATGTTTAAGGACGCCCATGACTTCATCTCTAAGTGTGATGCTTGCCAGAGACAAGGAAACATCAGCAAAAGGAATGAGATGCCACAAAACTTCATCCAAGAAGTGGAAGTTTTTGATGTTTGGGGAATAGACTTCATGGGTCCTTTTCCTTCTTCTTATGGGAACAAGTACATCCTTGTTGCTGTTGACTATGTGTCTAAGTGGGTAGAAGCCATAGCCAGCCCTACAAACGACTCCAAGGTGGTGATAAAGTTATTCAAGTCGATCATCTTTCCAAGATTTGGTATCCCAGAGTTGTGATTAGTGATGGAGGATCTCATTTCATCAACAAGGTCTTTGAAAGTCTACTGAAGAAAAATGGAGTGAGACACAAGGTTGCTACTCCTTATCACCCTCAGACAAGTGGGCAAGTAGAGATTTCTAACAGAGAAATCAAGAGGATCTTAGAGAAGACAGTGGGAATGACAAGAAAGGATTGGTCAGTAAAGCTTGATGATGCTCTTTGGGCATATAGAACTGCATTCAAAACCCACTTGGAACAACTCCTTTTCACCTTGTCTATGGAAAATCTTGCCATCTTCCTGTTGAGATTGAGTATAAGGCGGAATGGGCAGTAAAGAAGCTGAACTACGACATCAAGACAGCAAAGGAGAAGCGCTTGATTCAGTTGAATGAGTTGGATGAAATTCGTCATAATGCCTATGAGAATTCTAGGATCTACAAGGAAAGAACAAAAGCATATCATGACAAGAAGATAGTCCCCAAGACGTTCTCTCCCAATGACCAGGTTCTCCTTTTCAACTCACGCCTGAAACTCTTTCCCGGTAAGCTTAGATCGCGATGGTCCGGACCTTTTAAGATAAAAGAAGTGAAACCATATGGCGCTGTTGTACTATGGAACCATTCTGGAGGTGATTTCACTGTTAATGGACAAAGACTCAAGCCATATCTCGCAGACATTGATGAGGATGAGAGAGAAACATTTCCTTTAGTCGATGCCCCACTCGCCTAAGAAGAGCCATAACGTCAAGCTAATGACATTAAACAAGCGCTGTATGGGAGGCAACCCATAAGGTGTTTTCTTTTCCCTTTTTACTTTTTGTTTTAGTTTAATGTTTTTGTTTTGTTTTTGAAGTTTTGAATACAGAGATTTGAGAATCTAGCATGAAATTTGAGAAGAAACCTAGAAAAATGAAGAAAGGAGCAAATATGGCCGGGCCGATCCCGATGACTGACCGGAACGCATCTATGGTCGGCCGTGTTCCCTCTGGACCTCTCTCCTACAACCCTCCATCCCATCCCACCATCCATCACATCCCACTTATCTTAAAGGAGGCTTCAAAGGAGGTTCATACCCAACCTCAAGGAAACAAGGCAGCCAACACCTGGGAATGATAAAGAAGGGTTAGAAAATCACTTTGGTCGAAGAAAATCTTCATTGGCCCGAGTGGATTTGAGGATATTCTAACCGGCCTATTTCTCTCGGCCATGGAGGATACAAGGAGAATAATCATCGGCCATCTCCCAAACTGTGTGTCCAAAGTCCACCAAACTTCACAGGCGGCCATAAAATCGAATTTTGGTCGGCAAATACAAACAATAGGACGGTGAAATGTTCACGGTTCAGGAGATAGACCAAGGAGCCACATCCGGCTGATCTAGGTCAAGAAAATGGCCGACAAAACCAAATCACGGCATAGGCGCGCCCACCGGCTGGAAAACACTTCATGGAGCTTCATTAACACACTTCCAAAGGAAGAGTACAAAACGAACGAGTCAATCTCAAGGATGGCCAAGAAACCTCTCCATGGAGCCGATTGGACCACTTTGTGAAGGATCTCTCAAACTGCTCGTTCGATTGATCTCAAACTTCATCAGTGGGCATAAAATATCAGGTTGGTCGATGAAATTTCAATATGGGTCGAGGAATTCTTCATGGTTTGTTCTGTAGTTCATAGCATACCCTTTCGGACGACCGAAATGGACCATACTCGGCCAAAACGCAAACCGGAGTGAACCAGGCCCTGAAATTCAAAACTCACCGACCAATATCACATGAGGAAGTGTCCCATTCACCAAACCGGCCCTGATCTTGATAACCTAAGACCTATCTCAACCTATCAAAGGAGAAGGACAACCACATATCACCAATGGGTCGTTTCTTCATGGACTTAAGGTCTAATCAGGTTATATCTTTCTTCTCATTCACTCACACATTATTACCTCTTTCTTTTTCCTCCCTTAATGGATTTTCTTTCACCGGGACGGTGCAAGTTAAGTCTGGGGGGATTATTGGTACTAATGCGTTTTTCATCTTTCTTTTCTTATATTTATTCTTTTTCATGTTTTTCAAAAAGTTTTATTGAGTCAAAAACCAGTCCGGAAGTTATGAACTTGCTTTGAGAATTGAGAGTGTATGCTAACAATCCATGACCCTAGAGCAGACATCAGCTAAAGGCACAAGCCTAACAGAAGCTCTTACAGTGGATCGACATGCTAGCTCAGCAAAATTTCTAAGGTAACCAAGCAATCTAGAGTTAACCTCACCCTTAATCAATCTTAATTACTCTTGTCAAGGGGATTGGCATACATGTCGACAGTTCCTTGCTTGATTTTCAATAAGATTTGTCTAATCTTTAAAGAGTTCTCCTCTCTCTCCCATCCCAAATGGTAAGTAATGTTTATGAGAAAAAGCTCAAAGAGCACAAGGAAAACAAGTAAGCATGAGGAATGCATATGTCTGTACCTTCATGTCTTATGGAATACCTTAGTCAAACAAGGAACAAGCTAAAGACTTATCCTGTGGTTGAAAGAAGGGTCAATAGAAAAAATAAAATGATACCCTAGAAAAGTAGGGAAAATTGACCTTTCAAAGTTCTGATGTGAGAAAGAGAGAGGAAAAGAACTCATTGCACTTAAAGACAATCTTGGAGAGGATCAAGTGGGTAAGAACAAGTTCAATTGATCGATGTCCCCTTGATAAAGAATTCACGCTTTAAATTTATGCAAGAGGTTAGCAATAGAGAGTTTGGATTGCTGGATGAGACTAGTTGGGTTGGTATTGTTCGCTAAACTTGCAGGGTGTATGTGAAGCTAACCTTATGTTGTCTATGTTCATAGTGGAATACAGGAAAGGAACCTTTCACAGGATATTCAAAAGAGCAAGGGAGTTCCACGTTTTCAAACCTCTTTCACGGATTTAGATTCTTTTTGCTTGAGGACAAGCAAAGATCTAAGTCTGGGGGAGTTGATATACCTCTATTTTACATGCTTTTTATATGTTTTACTATGTTTTCTAATGGTTTTTTGGCAGGTTTTCTGATCTAAAAAGGTAGTTTTTATGTGATTTATAGTACTAGAGTCTAAACAGGTGAAAGATGCATTTTGGAGCAAAACACAGATTTGGACTTCAAGACCACTCCAAGACGTAGCATCAACTTAAGAAGGGCCTTAAAAACATTCTACTCAATGGACTTCATCAAATCCAGTTCGAGGAGATGCATACATGAGTTAGCTTTGCAATGCAACTGGAATCAATCAATTTGACCGAGTAGATTGGGAGATATCTCTATTTCCCTGAGACATATACCGAGGAGATTTATCGGACTGCATCAGTACATCAGACGAGCAGCAGCGGCTTAGACCCTTAAACTCAATGGATTTCAATGAAACTCAACACCAAGATAGCCAGATGAGTTATTGTTCTAATGCCGTTGGAAGTATGCAATTTGGATAAGCCGTTTAGGAGATATCACGTTTGTACTGAAGACTGGTCCACAGCCGGCCGAACGCACTCGGCCGGACAGGAAGGGAATTGGCTTCGCTCGGCCTTCTCCAGGACCGATCCGGCCGCACGACCGCACCGTCCGACCCGGGAGGCAATGGACCACGATCGACCGAGATCATCACATCACGGCCGACCAGACCGTGCGACCCGGGAAGCAAAGGACCGCGCTCGACCCGATCTCCGCGAACAAGAAGCCCACTTATGCAGTTTTGACTTTTCTCAGCCCAATTAACCTAAACCGACTTGTGAAGACCTAGGGCACTATAAATACACTTTTTTAGCCTCATTAGAAGAGAGAGCCGCATTAGTTTTAGAGAGTTTACATTGATTTCGTTTTAGAGCTTCATGGGAGAAGATCTCACCTTTGTAACACTATAGAGGAGATTTCTAAACCCTTTTACTTTCTATCAAGTTTTATTATGAATTCTTCTTCATCTCTATGCTTGATCTCTGTTACTATGCTTGAGTAATCTCTTGTTGGGTTAAGAGTTTTCAAAGGGTTTTCATGGATTGATTGTTAGGTTGCTAGATTAGGGTTTTATCATTAGTGTTCTTCATCTAAGTTTGTGCTTATTGCTTATAGCTTGATTGACCGTCTAGGCTACTGTTGTTAAGTAGATTTACTTTCTGACCGTTTGTTAAATCTCTTGAATCAACTTAGATGAGCAAGGCATAGTAACCTACGGAAGTAGAATTGCAAGGCTTTGTGAACTAAACCTACGGAAGTAGTGCTATCGAATTTGGAATGTTCTTACATGTTTAACCTCTTGATTACCTGCGGAAGTTGTGTGATTTAGGTTGTTAGACATAGTAATTGGCACTGCGGGAGTAGGTCAATTATACTTATTGATTCGAGTTCTAGAACAAACTATTGATTTCCCTATCTATTTGCTTGATTTAATCTATGAAACCTTGAGGATTCTCTGATGCCCAATGCTTTCTTCTATTGCTTTCACCTTATTTACTTTGTTTTGCTTTGAAACCGTGACAACAACAAACCTCCATACTTGAGTCTTAGCTTGATTCGAATCTCATAAACTCATAGTGTAAACTTATCTGGTCCTTGTGTTCGATAACCCGTTACTACATCTGACCTATGCACTTGCAGAATCAGGGATAGGAATAGGTAAAACCTGATCCCGCATCAAAAGGCTCCATATGGTCTGACTTCCTTGATGACAAAGGGCCCAGACCATCTTGATTTCAGCTTTCCAGGAAACAACTTCAGCCTGGAGTTAAACAGCAGGACTTGATCTCCTTGGGAAAAGTTCCTTTTCAGGATCTTCTTGTCATGGTAAGCTTTAGTCCGCTCCTTGTAGATCTTCGAACTGTCATAGGCCAGGTGCCTAATCTCGTCAAGCTCGACCAACTGCATGTTCCTCCTCTCTGCCGCAGACTTCATGTCATAGTTCATCTGCTTCACTGCCCACGCAGCCTTGTACTCTAACTCCACAGGCAGGTGACAAGCCTTGCCATAGACCAAGTTGAACGGTGTCGTACCAAGAGGAGTCTTGTAGGCAGTTCGATAGGCCCAGAGTGCATCATCCAACTTTGCAGCCCAGTCCTTCCCAGTCGTGCCTGCAGTCTTCTGAAGGATGTTCTTGATCTCTCTGTTAGATAGCTCGACTTGGCCACTCGTCTGGGGATGATAAGGAGTCGCCACCTTGTGCTTCACCCCGTGCCTCTTCAACATATTATCGAAGGTCCTATTGATGAAATGGGAACCTCCATCACTGATAACAACTCTCGGCACACCAAATCGAGGGAAGATCACCGACTTGAACATCTTCATCACGACCTTTGCATCATTAGTGGGACTGGCCAAAGCCTCTACCCACTTAGATACATAGTCGACAGCCACCAAAATGTACAGGTTTCCATAGGAAGATGGGAAGGGTCCCATGAAGTCAACTCCCCACACGTCGAAAACCTCTACTTCCAGAATGAAGTTCTGTGGCATCTCGTTTCTCTTACTGATGTTCCCCTGTCTCTGGCATACATCACACTTAGACACGAATCTGTGAGCATCTCGGAACATGGTGGGCCACCAGTAGCCAGCTTGCAGCGCCTTGGATACAGTCTTGTACGTCGCGAAGTGTCCAGCATAAGACGAGCTATGACAGTGGAACAAGATCCCAGGTATCTCCTCATCAGCTACACATCTCCTGTAGACTCCATCGGTGCAGTGCTTGTACAGGTATGGCTCATCCCAGAAATAGCGCCGGATGTCTCTCAAGAACTTCTTCTTCTTGTTCCCACAAAACCAGTAGGTTCATGCTCAGCAGCGAGGTAATTCGCTATCTCTCCAAACCATGGGAAACTGGACGGTCAACGGCGTTACAGCTCAAAGTACGATCTCCATCTCCCATTCGATCGATCTCCTTCTGTGCACTCGATCGAACTCCATCATCTGCGAGCAGGGGCTCGCCGTAATCGATCACCTCAACAGCGTAGACGTGCTCATCAGGTAAGCTGTCGTCTAGAGGGACGTCATCATCGATCTTCATCCTTGACAGGTGATCAGCTACACCATTGTCAATCCCTTTCTTATCCTTGATCTCCAGATCGAACTCCTGAAGCAAAAGAATCCATCTCAAGAGTCTCGGCTTCGCATCCTTCTTCGTCAGCAAGTACTTCAAGGCAGCGTGATCAGTATGGACAATCACCTTCGATCCAACAAGATAGGACCGAAACTTCTCAAATGCAAACACCACCGCCAATAGTTCCTTCTCAGTCGTAGCGTACTTGCACTGAGCTTCATCAAGTGTGCGACTGGCGTAGTAGATCACGTGCAGCTTCTTCTCCTTTCTCTGGCCCAGAACCGCTCCGACAGCATAGTCACTAGCATCTGTCATCACCTCGAAGGAAGGTTCCAGTCAGGAGGTTGGACAATTGGAGCACTCACCAGAGCTCCCTTGATCGTGTGAAAGGCCTCCAAGCATGTACTGTCAAAGTCGAACTTGACCTCCTTACACAACAGCAGCGTCAAAGGTCTGGTGATCTTGGAGAAGTCCTTGATGAATCGCCTGTAGAACCCTGCATGCCCCAGAAAGCTGCGGATTCCCTTGACAGAATTAGGCGGCTGTAGACTCATCATCACCTCGATCTTCGCTCTGTCGACCTCGATTCCCTTCTCGAAATCCTATGTCCCAGCACGATCCCATCTCTCACCATGAAGTGGCATTTCTCCCAGTTCAGCACAAGATGTCTCTCCTCACACCGCTGCAATACCCTGCACAGATTAGACAAACACACAGCAAAGGAGCTTCCATAGACAGAAAAGTCGTCCATGAAAACTTCCATTATGTCCTCAATAAGGTCAGTGAAAATAGACATCATGCAGCGCTGGAACGTCGCCGGTGCATTGCACAGTCCAAACGGCATTCTGCGATAAGCATAAGTGCCATATGGACATGTGAATGTCGTCTTCTCCTGGTCGTCTGGGTGGATGGGGATCTGAAAGAAACCTGAGTAACCATCTAAAAAGCAGTAGTATGGATGGTTAGCCAATCTCTCAAGCATTTGATCAATAAATGGGAGAGGAAAATGATCTTTGCGAGTTGCAGCATTCAGTTTGCGGTAATCAATGCACATGCGATGACCAGTGACAGTTCTAGTGGGTATCAGCTCGTTCCTATCATTCTTAACAACAGTTATACCACCTTTCTTAGGAACTACATGCACAGGACTGACCCACTTACTATCAGATATAGCATAAATTACACCAGCATCTAGAAGTTTCATTATCTCTTTCTTGACAACATCTTTTAGATTCGGGTTTAACCTCCTCTGATGTTCTACAGAAGTCATCGATTCATCTTCTAGATGTATTCTATGCATGCAAAGATCAGGAGAAATTCCAGGGATGTCATCTAGCGAATACCCTATAGCTTTTCTATACTTCCTAAGCTCACAGAGAAGCAAAGCAAGTTCAACATTGTTCAGCTCAGCATTCACTATCACAGGGTATGTAGAGTTAGGTCCCAGAAATGCATACCTGAGCCCCGCAGGGAGTGTTTTCAGCTCGAGCTTAGGCGCACTCGACTCGCTCCAGGGCTGTTGAGGACTCTCCTGAGGTGCATTCGATCGATCTGGCATCTTCGATCGATCCTCCTCCTCCAAGCTCATGAACGCCACCAGTCTCTCCATCTTGCCGCTTGCGTCCATCATCTTCCCGAAGCCATCGGCTTCCTCATTCAGGAAATCATACTCGCCTTCAGCTTTAGTCAAAGCTACCTCCAGAGGGTCGTCAAGAAGCATCTCCTCACTCACTTCGTCCACCAAGTTTGAGCCATCTTCAATCACATAAGTTTGCCCATCTAACATTGGCTTCTTGAGGAGTTTGTTCATCTCGAACCTCATGACGATATCTCCCAGATGGAGATCAATGATTCCTCCCTTCACGTCAATGATTGCACCAGCTGTGCATAGGAAGTTTCGCCCTAGTATGAGCGGATCCTTAGGCTCTTCGTCGAGCTCGAGGACTACAAAGTCTGCTGGAATGAGTGTGTTCCCTATCTGCACATGTAGATCCTCAAGTATACCGACTGGGAACTTGGTCGATCTGTCAGCGAAAACCAAGAGACTTTCGTGGGTTTGAACTTGTGTATCCCATCGCTTGGCCACAGAATATGGCATCAGGATCGCAAAGAGAGCATGCGGTCATATATCTGCACTGACAAGACAAATCTTCCTGGATCGCTCCTCTTCTTGATCACCTTGTTCTGCAGCACAGCGCTGCACTCCTCGATACTAGCATGACGTTCTCATCCTCAGCTACTTTCCCAGATATCAGCTCCTTCATGTACTTCTTCAGAGCAGGAATCATCTGAACAGCATCAGACAGAGGCAGCTTCACAGTCAAGTCCTTCAGCATCTCCTTACACTTTGCATCCTCCAAGTCTTTTCTGGACTTTTCCGTGGAACAGGGTAAGGCACCTTAGGTGCGTAAGCTCTGGCTGGAGTAGGGTCAAGTCAGCTACGGGTTCCTGAGAGACGAGGCGTCATCACCAGCTCGATCGACTCCGCTGGATGCAGCTCGATCGACTTCACTTCTTCCAGTTCTCGTCGGCTTTCTCCTTGCCTGCCCTTTTCAGAGGAATCACAGCAGGTTGTAGCTTCCTTCCACTTCTCAGCTCAACTTGTGCAACATACTCGTTCCTGGGGTTTGCTCTCCTTTCCCAGGAAGGGTTCCATGAGGTCTCTTCACAGCTTCAGCGGTTTGAGCGACTTGGACATCCAGCTTCTTCACGTGAGTCCACACAGCTTCGTACTTCCCATTCAGATCGTTGTACATGGTGTCTATCTTCAAGTGTGTCTCCGCAGTGGACTTCTGCTGGTTCATCAACATCTGCTGCATCATACCCTTAAGCTCATCGTTCGAGTTGTTCGATGAACCTGAAGGTTGTTGCTGATTGCTGAACTGCGCCTTCTGTTGGTTACCTCCCTGAGAACGATTCTGGTTTGGGGCAAAGGTCTTCTCCTGGAAGCTGTTAGGATAGCTCTTCTGATAACTCTGCTGGTTCTGGTTCGATCGAGGCGGATAGACCTGATCCTGAGGGTTCTCGACGTTGGTGCTCCTGTAGGACATGTTCGGATGGTTTCTGTAGTTCGAGTTGAAACCACGGTTCGGCACAAAAGGCTTGCCCATTCACATAGTTGACCTCCATCTGATCATCGTCGTCCTCTTCTCCTCCAAACTCTTGAGAGATAGGTGCATCATCGTTCTCGTGAACAGACTTCTGCTGCGCCTTCATCAATAGATTCACCTTCGCAGTGAGCTCCTCAATCTTCTTCGCGTCAGCACTGCTTCCTTTGACAGATACAGTGCTCACTGTTCTGTCGTACTCAGCGTTCTTGTTGCTCGAGCTCGCTGCAAGATTCTCGATCAGCTCGAATGCACCTTCCTTGGACTTCGTCATGAAATCGCCATTGCTGGCTGCGTTCAAAGCATTCCTGTAGTCCCAGTTGACTCCATCGTAGAAGATGCTCAGGATCTGCTCGTCAGAGTATCCGTGATGAGGACACTCTCTTCGGCACTCCTTGTATCTCTCCCATGCTTCGCAGAAAGCTTCTCCATCATACTGCTGGAAAGATGCTTTCGTGTAGAAGTGGTCCAGGAAAGCTGCTCTAACTTGGTCCCATGAAGTCAAAGAACCAGGTGGTAATGACTTCAGCCAGCGAGATGCTTTGTTGGCAAGTGAGAACGGGAATAGCTTGCACTTCAGAAAGTCAGCCGGTACTCCATTCGAACCAGTCGTGCTGCATATCTCCTCAAAGTTCTGGATATGGTCCGCAGGAATCTCAGCAGGAAGTCCATGGAAGATGTGATCCTTGACTAGAGCGATCATGCCGGGCTTGATCTCGAAGTCTTGCCTCTGCACGTTTGGAGGGACAATCGCAGACCGGTTTTGATAGAAGGTGTGCGGATTGTCCTTGTCTCCAATAGCAGGACGAGGTTGCGGTTCTCGATCTTGTTGAGCCTTCCGCATCTGCTCGATCTGCTGCTGAAGCTGCTGCAACTGAGCAGCCATGTTCGGGTTGCCGTTATCGCCCATGTCGGCTGGATTCGGCCTTCGTTGTCTGTTTGCTCGTTCTGCTCTTGCAAGTTCTGCGTTGGACAGGATGAAAGCTCTTCGTTGCGGTTGCTCCGTCGAGATCTAGTGATCATGCACCTGAAACATACACAAGAAAAACAAGAGAAAACAAGTTAGTAAATCTAGATTTCAAATCAAGAATCAAAGGTAACGAATTGGTCCCCGTCGCAACGGCGCCAAATTTGATAAACTAGAAATAGGTCCTTTTCTCTACTGCAAATTATCAGTGATGAAGATTGTAATATAAAGGATTCGAAATCCAGAGGACCAGCGTTACACTGTGAAACTAGGAGATTTAAAACAGAGCTAAGACAAAGATGATTGGTTTTAGTAACAGGTAACGAATGTAAACGATGATGTAATTCAATTAAACAGGGACTAGACCAAGGCAATTCGCAGAGATTCACGGTTAACAACCAAACAACTATTCAGGGCACAGATGATGAACAGGTCTCGAACTCAAACAAAATATGTCAATTCACTTTCGCGATAATGACAACTTTATCTAACAACCTAGATGTCTAAACTGTCGTTTGAATCTAGCAATTGATGACAAGCAATAAACAGGTTCGATAAGTTCACGAATCGCCTAGCATCAACTTTCGCAGGCTAAGGACGATTCGCTCACCACAGTTCGTTCTAACAACCTATTGCACTTTTGATGAACAGGTAATCTGAGATCAGAGATCGAGTGATCAGATCGATCTAAGCAGTAATGCAACAATGGCGAAGACAGTATTAAAGCCCTATCTGTATTCAGTCAAGTTAACACATGAATCCCTTTGAAAAACCTAGATCTAGCAGTGACTACTCAGACATGGTGAAACAGCAAACAATACTGAATGAATGTCATTGAATCAAAATAAGAAAATAGCAAAAAAAGGGTTCAGAAATCTTCTCCAAACTGTGAAAACAGAGGTTTGATCTCTTCTCCCTCGGAAACAATGAAAACAGTGTAAACTCTGAAAAACGGCGTAGCCTAAACAATGGCTAAAGATAGGTCTAAATAGCTCCGGGGTCGACTTCGGTTCAATCCGGTTCGCTGTGGTTCGATCAAGTCGGTTTGCACCAAGTAGATCGAACGGCTGTGATATCATCTGACCGGGATTGATCGAACGGCTGAGACAGAACGGGATCGATCGAGCTTCGTCGCTCTGCATGGGATCGATCGAGCTACTCCCTTTGCATGGGATCGATCGAGTGGGTAGCACGCAGGGGATCGATCGAGCTCGTAGCGTGAGAGGTCGATCGACTCACCTCTGTATGATCGATCGACTCGTGGGTCGATCGAGTCTTGTGGAGCTCGATCGAGCTCCTTTGCCTGTTTCTCTGCTTTCCCTGTTGTTGGTCCATGTGACCAAAGCTCTCCCTGGAACGTCTTTAGACCTGAAAAGACTCGATAAAGACTAGAAAGACTCGATAAAACTCGTGAAAACAAGTGTTAGAATGCGTCAAATACGCAAGATATCAGTCCAGTGGTGGTTGGTGGGGGAATTTAACACCATTGTGAGAGTAGACGAACAAACTGGTGGAAGTGGCATGTTGTCGACAGATTCTTTGGCATTCGGGGAATGGATTAATGATATGTCTTTGATCGACATGGGCTTTCGCGGAGGTAAATTTACTTGGAAGCGAGGAAGAATGGAGCGAACTTTCTTGGCGAAACGTTTGGATAGATTATTATGCTGTGCACAAACGAGATTGACTTGGCAGGAAGCTACTGTAACGCATCTCTCTTTCTTGTCATCTGATCATGCCCCACTGTATGTGCAGTTGTCACCAGTGTCAGCTAGTGACCCGAAAAGACGTCCTTTCCGCTTTAAGGCGGCATGGCTACAGCATCCGAACTTCAAGGAGCTTGTTTCTACCTCGTGGAAAGGTAATCATGGTACTAATGCAGCGTTGGTAGAATTGCGGAAAGTACTTATCAGATTGAACAAGGAGGTCTTCGGAGATGTAGTGAGACGTAAGGAGTATCTCTTGTGGGAAATTAATGAGGTACAAGATGCGTTGGAGAGAGGGCCATCAGATACGTTACTGGCAAGGGAAGATGTGTTGATTAAAGAGCTTGATGTGGTTCTGGAGCAGGAGGAGATGCTATGGTTTCAGAAGTCACGAGAAAAGTGGATACCTTTGGGAGATCGGAACACTCGCTTCTTTCATACGTCTACGGTAATCCGGCGGCACAAGAACATAATTGATATGCTCAAGAAGGAAGACGGGAACTGGACCGCTGATGCGCAGGAAATGGAGTCACTTGCAATATCTTACTTCAAACTACTCTATTCCATGGAAGATGTTGAGGCAGTAGTTGACAAATTACCGGCTAATGGCTTCGCACAACTGTTCCGGGAGGAGAAGAATCACTTACACAGGGGGTTCTCGGCGTTGGAGGTGGAGTCAGCCGTTCGTAGCATGGGGAGATATAAAGCCCCGGGGCCGGATGGGTTTCAACCGGTATTTTACCAAAGCTGTTGGGACACGGTGGGCTCTTCAGTCACCAGATTTGTATTGGATTTCTTCGCTACATGGGATTTACCTCCAGGTACCAATGATGTTCTACTGGTGCTGATTGCGAAGGTGAGCAAGCCGGAGAGTATTACACAGTTCCGCCCTATCAGCCTATGTAATGTAATCTTCAAAACTATAACGAAGACATTGGTGGAAAGGCTTAAGGCAGTAGTATCTAAACTCATAGGCCCGGCGCAGGCGAGCATCATACCCGGCCGTTTGAGTACTGATAATATTGTTCTGGTTCAGGAAGCAGTCCATTCAGTGCGACGCAAGAAAGGGCGTGGAGGGTGGATGCTTTTAAAACTCGACTTGGAAAAAGCTTATGATCGGATCCGGTGGGATATTTTAGAAGATACACTCAATGCGGTGGGGTTTAATGATACTTGGATTCAATGGATTATGCGCTGTGTGTCGGGGCCAGTTATGAATTTGCTTTGGAACGGAGAGAAAACTGAAGCTTTCACACCATTGAGAGGATTGAGGCAAGGTGATCCGATCTCTCCATATCTGTTTGTTTTGTGTATGGAAAGACTTTGCCACATGATAGAGAGGTCGGTTGGAGCAAAGGAATGGAAACCCATTAGTTTATCTAGAGGTGGTCCGAAATTATCCCACATCTATTTCGCAGATGACGATCCTATTTTCTGAGGCGTCGGTGTCGCAGGTTCAAGTTATTCGAAAGGTGTTGGAAACTTTTTGCAGCGCGTCAAGGCAGAAAGTAAGCCTAGAAAAGTCAACGATATTCTTCTCCGGCAACGTTTCTTGGGAGTTGGAGCAAAGCATCAGTAAAGCGTCTGGCATCCGATCATCGCATGACTTGGAAAAATATTTAGGAATGCATGTGTTGCACAAGCGCTTGAACAAGAACACGTTTGGAGAAGTGTTGGAGAGAGTTTCTGCGAAGCTGGCTGGCTGGAAGAGTTGTACACTGAGCATGGCGGGAAGATTAACTCTCACAAAGTCAGTATTGTCTTCAGTACCGGTTCACTCAATGAGCTTTATACTCTTGCCTAAGTCTACATTGGCGAGTCTAGATAAGATCTCGAGATCATTCTTGTGGGGAAGCACCGCGGAGAAGAAGAAACAGCACTTGGTTTCGTGGAAGAAGGTCTATCTTCCAAAGGCAGAGGGAGGGCTTGGCATCCAGACCTCAAAAGATATGAACCTAGCAATGATAGCAAAGGTGGGATGGAGACTACTCCAGGAGGAAGAATCCCTCTGGGCGAGGGTTATGTGGAAAAAATATCGGGTTGGAGATATTCACGATCCGAGTTGGCTACTTCCTAAGAGCTCTTGGTCAGTCTTATGGAAAGGTGTAGTGAGAGGATTGAAGGAGGTCGTATGGCCAGGGCATTATTGGGTTGCTGGTGATGGTGAGAACATTAAATTCTGGACAGACAATTGGATTTCGGAGGAGCCTCTGGTGAACTCGGCGACAGGAAACCTCCCAGTGGAGGCTCGCTCTTGGCTCGTGAAAGACGTTTGGAGAGATGGTGTGGGTTGGGATATCCCCAAACTTAGCCTGTATCTGCCATATCACGTTGTTTTGGAGCTGATGGCAGTAGTCCTCGACCATGTCACAGGAGCTCGAGACAGACTAGCTTGGAAGGGGAGCTCTAATGGATAATTCTCGGTGACAACAGCTTATGAATTGATCACAAAAGTCGATACGCCAAGGCCAAATATGGGATCTTACTTTGAGCGAGTTTGGAGAGTAGCTGCTCCGGAGAGGGTATGCTTGTTTCTGTGGTTAGTTAGCCATCAAGTGATAATGACTAATGTGGAGCGCAAACGCCGGCACCTCAGTGACTCCGATGTGTGCTCTGTTTGTAAAGGTGACTTCAAAACTATTATGCATGTTTTGAGAGATTTTCCGGCTATGGCTGGGATATGGGAGAGGATTGTTCCAGCCGGGATGCGACATCTCTTCTTTAGTCAATCTCTGTTGGAATGGTTGTATGACAACTTGCAGGAGGGAGTTATTATTACTGATGTCCCATGGTCTACAACCTTTGCGATGGCGGTATGGTGGGGCTGGAAGTGGCGGTGTGGTAATGTTTTTGGAGATAACCGACTATGCAGAGATCGGGTCAAGTTTGTGCGGGAGCTCGCGGCAGAGGTATGGCGAGCATATCAAACAGTGAGTTTGAAGTCGGGACCGAGAGCCAGAGTCGTGAGAGATATAGGTTGGCAAGCTCCGTCTGCAGGTTGTTTCAAGCTGAACACAGACGGTGCTTCTCATGGCAATCCCGGTTTGGCGACGGCCGGAGGAGTGATCAGAGATGGAGATGGAAAATGGTGTGGCGGCTTCGCATTGAACATTGGACGTTGCACCGCTCCTTTAGCTGAACTATGGGGTGTGTACTACGGGTTAGTGATCGCGTGGGAGAGGAAGTTTTCGCTGTTGGAATTTGAAGTGGATTCCGAACTGGTGGTTGGGTTTCTGAAGAGAGGGATCAACACGTCGCATCTCTTATCTTTCCTGGTGCGCTTGTGCCATGGCTATCTTGAGAAGGACTGGTCAGTCCGTATTACGCATGTATTCAGAGAAGCTAACCGACTGGCAGACAGCTTGGCGAATCATGCGTTCTCGCTACCTTTAGGATTTCATCTTTTTGAACATGTTCCCCCATTACTAGAGTCACTAAGATGGGAAGACGAGATTGCGGTCACAAGCCTTAGACTTGTGTCGTTGTAATTTCACTTTAATTTATATTTGCGGGAGACTTGTCTCTCGTTGCTTTACCAAAAAAAAATATATAAATGTTTTAATTTATGTGATCATAAATATATAGTTAAGCATAGCTTTCAATTTAATATTGATTTCCTGATTTAACTTTATATTCTTTGGTTTATTTTATGTTTTTAATCAAACACCTTTTGTTATAAAAATATGCAGGTTCAGTTCCCTCTACCAATTTTTGTCCCTCGAGTAGAATTTTTCCACCGACCATAACAGTTTCCCGAGAAAGAATGTCACCACCATTACCACTAGAACATTTTTCGTTCAACAATATATCCGGAATAGTAAGAGGTAAGTAAGCAAATTACTGTTCCCCATGATCTAACAAAAAAGGAAAAAGCAAAAAAGAAGTGTTTGACAAGCCCATGTTTTGATAATACCAATTCAAAAAAAATCTGAATTAACCAAATGTATCCCAATTTACCCGAATTTGAACAAAAAAACCAAAATATTTAACCAAACCGTATTGTAATTTTATTAGGTTAATTTCAGTAATTTTTTTTTAATTCTAACCAACAAAAAAATCCGAGTTAACTAAGGACAAGTCAATTGTATTACCTTTTAAGAATGTTATAAAACAAGGTGGTTGGCCCGCACCTTGTGCGGGCATGAGTTGCTTTTGAAACTAAAAATATCTATATACAAAAAACAATAATTTTGATAATTCAAACATTACAATAATTTTTCTAAAAAACTGAAATAAGAAAAAACCACTAAAATAATTTAAATATTCAAACCATACCATATGTTTTAGAAAACTTCTTCATATTAGTTGATCTTTATATTAGTTTAAAATTTTTTTAGATGATGGTCTCGCACCTTGTGCAGGTACAATATTTTTTAAAAACATTAATTCATTAAATATTTAATAATATAAGTAGTAAAATTTATGATTGTATTTATTGTTTTTGTTTCGCCGATTTCTTATTTTTGTAATTTTGATATATCTTATTTTTATCTTTTCTTTCTCATTTTCAACATAATCCTCTTCATTTGTTTATAAATATACAAAAGATTTGTTTATTTCTTCTCCCTCTTATCTTCTCCAATTATCCCATCTTCTTATTTTTCTTTCAATTTTATATTCATTTTCATCATCTTTTTCTTCTTCTTCCAATTTTCGTTCTTAAATATTTTCTTATGTCTTCATATCCTCCAACTCACTATTCTACATTTTCTTTTTAATCATTATTTTCCGGTTTTTCTTCTTCCTCATTCCCACATATCTCTATCTTTATCATCTTCGTCTTTTCTAACAACATATTGTTCTAAATTTTATTTATTTCTTCTTTGTCACTTTCTATTTCTTCACATTCTATTTTTTCTTCTTTGCTTTCTTTTTCCTCATATTCAAGTTTTTTTCTTCTTCTCCAAATTTCACATCTTCTCTTTCACCGTCTTCTTTTCTTTTACTCGTGTATTCATTCGTTCGTTTTAACCTCTTGTATTTCACCTATAAATTCATTTGATAGTTTAGATTTTCAATTATTTGAAAAATAGTTTTATCTTTATATAGTCGAGATCTTTTAAAAATCTATTGGTTTTGTTATCTTTCGATTATGTATTTGTTTTAAATGGTTTATTTTTTTTTATATTTGTAAATGTAATTTAGAAAGGTATAATTAGATTTATAATCATTGATTTTTATATTCTTCCATAATAATTCAATTTTTTTTAAATGCACAAAAAACTAAACCCTACTCCCATCAATATAAACCCTACACCCTAAACCCAAACCCCACAGAGTAACACCACCTCCCCTCCCCCTCCCTAAACAATCCTACACTCTAAACCCAAACCCCACATTATAACCCACGCCAAACCGCACACCCAAACCTCACATTTTACAAATTGGTTCTGGATTTTTTCTTTTATTTTTATTTATTTCTTAAAAATAGTTTTTTTTAATTGGTAATGTAGTGTATTCAATTTTTGTAAAATGCACCAAAAGCTAAGCTTTACGCCCATCAATATAAACCATACATCGTAAACCCCAACCCATTTTTATCTTCTTCTTCTTTTACTTTGTCTTTTACTTCTTTCATTTATTTTCGTTCATTTTTTCCTTTTTTGTCTTATTCTTATCAAACTTTCTAATATATTTTTTTTCTTTTTCTCTCTCTTCATCGTCATTTTTATTTCATGGTTTTTATTCGTTTTCTTCTTTTTATTTACAATTAGTTTTTTTTTCGATTGCTTTGTGTTCTTATTCTTTGTTTTTATCTTTTGATTTTTCTAACTTCTTTATTGCTTATATATTCTTCAATTTTTTTCTTCTTTTGTTATGTTTCTTTCATTTTTTTCCATGTTCGTATTCCAACTTTTGTCTTTTCTTTACTTTTATTTAGGTTTTTTCTTCTTATTTCATCTTGTATTCTTCATCATTTTGTATTATCAATCTTTTTCTTTTTGGTAACATCTTATTTATTAGTTTCGTCTTTTTCTTTATTTTATTTTATTCTTGTCTTTTCATATTTTTTCTTCATCATCTCCTCATACCTTTTTGTTATTTTTTTCTGTTGTATTTCTTTAATCTCCTTTAATTTATTTGTCTCTAGTAACATCTTAGTTTTCTGGTTTTCTTTGTATTATTTTTTCATACTTTACTTTCATTTTTTTATCCTCTTATTTTCTTCTTTCAGTTTTTCCTTCTTATTCTCCGCTCTTATGTTCTTTTTCTTCTTATTTATATATGTTTCGTTATCTAAATCCATTTTTTTAAGTTAGTTTTATATTTCTCGTTCGTCGTTTTCTCTTCATCTTCTGTTTTTCTTTCTCGACATTTTCTTCGTTTTCTCCAAGTTGCTTAGCTTCTTCTTCTTCTTCTTTTTTTGTCAACAACCTCTATTTCTAGGCTTCTTCTTCTTTTTAATTCTAATTTTAATTGTTCTTATCTATGTTTTTTCCAACTTCTTCAACTTAATCTTTTGATTTTTAATCTTTCCATTTTTGTAACTTATTCTTCTTCATCCTCCTCCTCTCCTCCGATTTCTTCTTCTACTTTATTCTTCCGGTTTAATTTTATATTTTTTCCCTTTTTCTTTCAGTTTCTCATCATTTTCAATTATTTTTCCACCTTCTTTATGATATTAGCTTTTCTGACTTTATATTCTTCTAAATATTATTTCATTTATTTTCATCTTTGTCTCCTTTTATTTTGTCATCTACATCTTCCATATTGATTTTCTTCTCTGTCATCCTTTCTCTTCTACTTTTTCTTTTCTTCATTTTTATTTTATTTTTCTTTTGGTTTATATTCGCCTTCTTCCTTTTTTATAATTGCTTTCTATAATGAACCAAAACACACCATTTGCAAGCAATACAGATTCTGCAAAAGTCTGCAATCCAAAAAGCATATTCAGATACGAAGAAACTTATGCAGAGAACTTAATAAATTGTTCCAAGGTACACTTACTTGAAAAAGAATATGATGAATGTAACCCATGTAGTTGCAATCTGACATTCGAGTTTTCGCTATTCACAGAGGTCTATACGATCCTTCTTCATCTACTGTACTGACTTGGGTGTGATCTTTATCACCAGATTTAAATCTGTATATTGACACTAAGGTTACAACCTGCATTATATCAAATCCAATTTAGGTAGTGAAAAAATGATTTTCAAAAGAAGTGCTTGCTCTTCCACTGCCGGATTCCACCATGGCACCGTAGATCCTAAACCACTCGAGAAATAAAGCAAAAGATCATTGTCATCAAATTAGAAATATGGCAAAAAAACACTCGGGTTCTACCCGTCTCGTTGTGACTGCTCCATCGCACCACAATTTCTCGTAAACACCTAGATACTCCATCGCCGTTTTGATCCGTATGTATGATCCTTGTTCATCCCCTGTTTTCAATTCAAACTCGAAACTCATAACCATCTTTTAAAAAATATATTAAAAGGCTAACCTGAATTGATCAATTTAAACAGAAATACTGATATCAACACAAAAACGGAAAGCCATTGAAATCACTCTTTTTCTTTGTTTGGATACCTTGTCATCCATCGATCAAAATATAAAATCATGGAAACATATTTCTCTCCACGTCATCAGACTAAGACCATCATAAATCCCACATTCAAACGATTACATTCAGGATAGTTAATATGCAAATCCCAAACAAAACTGGCAATTGTACAATCGACTGAGCAAAGTAGCAAACGTTGTTGCATCGTCCATGTTGTGAATATTGTCTCGACGACAATACTTTCTTTTTTCACTGCGATGCAATTCATCACAAACAAAACAAAAACTAATTTTTATGTATTATCTATGTTGATTCTCAAAGTAAACAAAAAGAGTAAAAAACTAACTTCTACCATGTGCAAAGTCGTAATCCATCATAGAAAACGTTTTTTGGTATGTCAATGAATATAATATGCACACTACTGCTTAGCTTCGTAAAAATAAAATAAATATTGTTAGTATGCAACAAACCATGTTCATGGGATTATGATAGAGTTTCATGATTCAGAAGGAAACAAAGCCATGGCTTATAATCAATACCTATACTAAAGTAACTATAGAAGACTCCTTCATAGCCATTCGTTGATGGAGGCAACTCAACCTCTACTCTTGGTATGATTTCAATATCTTAATACCTTATTCACTTTCAATCCTGAAAACTGTATGTTAAAAAGAACATAAGTATTCTTGCAACTCTGAACTGAGTCCTGAAGCCCTCAAGCCCTCAAAGACATTCAAACAAAGCTTCGTTGACATATTTGACGGTTCCAGCTTCAATCATATTTCCACATCTATCAATTGTCAATGAAAGAAAATATCAACACTATTAGAATTACAAGGTTAAAAATCGAGATTATTTCCCGAAACTTTTGCTTTGAAACTTAAGTTGGGTTTATTACGCGGACCTACCACCTCAACTAATTAAAAATCTAGATTATTTCAGTCCATTGTATTACGGTTTATTAGAATTAGGGTTTTATGAGCATTAAGTTGAAATTAAGAAGCAAAGATGTACATACCTCTATTTCTTGCGAAGAATTGTTTTTAGTTGGTACCATATATGATCTTCTTGATTCCATAAACTAACAAAGCATGAATTTACTGTTACAAAAGTGAGTGAAATAGAAGTTATATGCGAATCTTTAGATAAAATTTGCAGAAATAATGAAATTAAAATTAGTTAATCATTAGAGCTAATAGAAGTAAGATCTAGCAAGAACAATAAACATACACGAAAAGAAGAAATATGAACTCAAATAATTAAAATCACGTCTAAAAAGAAGAATCGAAATTGTAATGATTTTGCTTCTTGCCATCTATTTATATAGAACATAGTTGGTTAAAAAACCTAGAGTTTTGTTTTTTTTCTTTCCTTTTTTTTTTCTTCCAAATTTGTGGCGCGTAATATGGTAGTTAGGATAATTATCGAAAAAATATTTAAATAAAAAATATAACTCGTGAATTTAACAAAAAAAAAGAAATTTTCAAGATTTAATAATAGATTTACATTAAATCGAGGGGGGAAGAAGGAAATTTTCAAGATTTAAAAAGGAAATTATGAAGATTTTTCTTTTTAAATATCAAATCTTGAATAATAACAAAAAAGGAAATTATGAAGATTTTTTTTTTTAAATATCAAAATCGTGAATAATAACAAAAAAGGAAATTATGAAGATTTAATAATAGATTTTCATTAAGGGCATCTCGGTAATTCTGCGGCTGAGAGTTAACGTGGTGCCTCCATTCGAAATTTTGACTTCGCAAATAATAGTATGATTTTTTCTAAAATATAAAAAAGTAAATATTTTTATTGATGATGTGGAATTATACTATTGTTTGTTTAAAATTATATATACTTTATTTTCTTATCTCTTACATATTTAAAAAGGTAAATAACTTTAGTGATGATGTGAAATGAAACTATTGGTTGTTTAAAATTTTATATACTTAATTTCTTTATCTATTGCATATTTAAAATTGGAAATTTTCTTAATAATGAGAATGCTTATGTGGACCAATCAAATTCTGTTTTTTTTTTTTTCAATTCTAGATGAACAGCTTTAGAGGCCTATATGGTCAATTTTTATTAGCAATAGATTACTTAGTGCATTTGCAATGAAAAATGCTTAATAGAAATCCTTAAGTCGGGGATTTCATTAAAATGAATGATTGAATGAGACATAATAAATAGTATGGGCTTCTTAATCAACTTTCCACTGATATAAAAAACACAGGGGAAATTTCAAAACTACACCTCTTGAGGTGCCAATTTTCAAAAATACACTTCTATGGTGTCCATTTTCAAAACTACACTTTTTTATTGATTAAAATAACTCTAAACCCTAAAATATAAATTTAAAACCCTAAAATCTAAAATTGAACCCTTAAATCTAAACCCTAAACCCCAAAATCCAAACCCTAATTTAGGATTAGTGAACCCAAACATATATATTAAAATTAGAAAAAGTGTATTTTTAAAAATTTCCACACTATAGGTGTAGTTTTGAAAATTTGCACCTCAAGAGGTGTATTTCATAAAATTTCTCAAAAATACATCTAATGTCATTGCTTATTAGATAATCTAAAAATTACAATTATTAAAGTCTAATTAATAAAATATTTGTAAAATATGAAATTCACAAAAAATTAACATGTTAAAGTAATAATACTGATGTGGAATAAAAGAAAACATATGAATATTAAAAAAAAGTAAATTTGCTAATAAGAATAAAAAGAAAATTAGGAAATTAACTTTTCATTGAAATAATAATAATAATAATGATATGGACCAATCAAATTCAATTTTAGAATCCGATGTGGACACCTTTAGAAGCCTATTGATGTTGGAAGAATGTATTAATGTATTCCCTCAATTTCTAAAAACTTGATGTTGTAGGACTTTTACTTAGATTAAGAAGTAATTAATATATAGCTTTAAATGTATCATTTTTCTCTCACTAGTCACTTTATCATTAATATAAACCAATAATAATTTAACAATATTCTTGGATCTCACAATTAAATTACTTTTGTTAATAAACAATAAAAAAGAAATCTAAAAAATTAAGTTTTGTAGAACAAAGGAAAAACTTTAAAACATCATGTTTTTTAAAATAGATGGAGTATATGATAACGATTCTTTCTCTACAGATTGAATGTAGACATGTGGATCTCCATCGGCTAGGTGAAAATAGCACGCTTTTTGAGGACCTGTGACACTTGTCTGCCATGGACTCTTAAATGGAACCTCAAGACGAAATTCAATAGTGACATATATTTAGTGTGAGGAAATTAAAGATAATATACTTCATTTATATTATTCCCATGGACTTGAACTTAATTATATAATAAAGTTCACATGTTTGTCATAGATAAGTAATTAAAATAGAAAAGGAACAACTGACAAGACCTCCATGCCGTATGTTTTATACCCTATTGCAAAACTGTGATAGACCGAAAGAAATTTAACAATCGTTATTATAGTTGAGAAAAACAAGGAAGAAAGAGAATTGTTAAACTTTTTTAAACTCTTAAAGAAAAAGGAAAATTCTCTCATATAGTTTAGTATAAATATATTGGTTTTGTCTTTCTAATATTCATGTTAAATAACCTAGTTGTAATTGGCTTTGACGTGATGAGTCTTGCCTTGGTCGCCATGAGACCTTGCTGCTAATTGTTCTATCTATCTATCTAGTGCTTTCTATCTATCATTATCTATTGTAATTAGTGTTATTCTAATAAAGAAGAGGATTTAGGGTTTGGGTTCTTAACAAATTGGTGCATTCGTGATACTGGTTCGGACAGGAACGTGATTGGAGCTTCAGAATTGCAGCAATAATGATGGTTAAGGAGTGTGAAGACCGAATTACACAGCTCGAGGGATCTTTGGGAGACATACATGGAGAGGTCTCAGCAATCAAGGCTGGCTGTGAGAGCATGTCATCACGGCTTGGAGTGTTGGAAACACATATGACATCGATTGCTCAAATCCTTTCACGCATCGAAGCTAATTCTTCCTCAGGACATGGTCAAACTAGCGGCACTAAATCATCATCGCTTGATTCACCTCAGGTAAATCATCCTCTTCTTGACCTGGAAGCTAAATCGCTAGGTTGTCGGAGAATTAATTGGTGCTTTAGAAACTCGTGATAGTATGCTACGGAAAATCGATATGCATGTCTTTGATGGTCGTCTGCCGTATGGATGGATTGCTAGAGTAGAGAGATTTTTACGTTTGGGTCAATATGCAGAGGAAGAAAAGTTGGAGCTCGTTTCTTTATGCTTGGCTGGAGCTGTTTTGAATTGGTTCAATAGTGAAATTGTTAATGCACCCTTCTCTAACTGAGAGAACTTTAAACAACGACTTCTGGTGCGGTTTACTCCGGCAATTGACGATGAGCCAGGGAAACGTTTACTGTGCATACAACAAACTGGAGAGATTGCAGAGTATATCAACGAGTTTGAAGAGTTATCAACTCAAGTGACTGGTATTAGTGAAGCCACCTTGACGAATGCCTTTTACAATGACTTAAAACCTACGATGAAGGAAGTTATAGAGATGAAAGATCCTCAAGGATTGACCAATCACAAGGCAGCTGTTATGAAGATGCAATCTTCTGGCTTTTTTCAGGTAATGGGAGAGTCTAAATCACAAAGCAGCCTTCAAACTTTCAAGTCAATTACAAATTTTCAGCCATAAAATTTTTTTCCAAGTCACAACAATCGTGTTGGTACTATGGTGGAGGAAAATACTGGAGGTTCTCAACCATTGTGGATACTGGCCAGAATAGCTCACATGTGCCGTTACGTCCACTGCAACAATACACAGATGCAGAACTTGATGATATGAGGAGAAACAAGTTCTGTTTCAAGTGCAAAGGTGATATACCTCTATTTTACATGCTTTTTATACTATTTTAGTATGTTTTCTAATGGTTTTTGGCAGGTTTTCTATCTAAAAAGGTAGTTTTATTGGATTTATAGTACTTAGAGTCTAAACAGGTGAAATGATGCATTTTGGAGCAAAACCATAGGATTTGCACTTCAAGCCGCTCCATACCAAGCATCAACTTTAAGAAGGGCCCAGAAAAAGATCTACTCAATGGATTTCATCAAGACCAGTTCCCTGCGTGCTCTGAGTGAGTTAACTTTCCAACGCAATTGGATTGGCATCATTTGGATGAGTAGAAATGAAGTTATGATCAAATTAGTGAAGACTGGTCCAGACGGCCTTATCGAGCGTTCGCGTCCTGAGCCGAACACCGGCCGATCAGGAACGAACGTACCGTGATCGTCCCGCGCACAACATCCGCGCCATCCCGCCAAGTCCACGGCCGAGCTCACGTACCGACCCGGGAAGCAACGTCCCGCGGTCGAGCCGTTCTTGCCTCGCCACCACAAGCCGTGCACGACCGCGCCCGCGAACCGGGAAGCAATGTCTCGCGGCCGTGCGGCACAACCCATGTCCCACGGCCGATCCATCCGTCCGACCAGGAAGGCTTCGTCCCACGTCCGGCCAAAACCTTTGGCCAATCCATCCATCCGCCGACCACGACGGCCGAACGAAAACTCTCGGCGTGCCGATAGCCGACCACGACCCGATAGCCGGCCGATCGTCCCGACCGACCGTCCGAACGTCCGATCGACCCGAAGCCCGTTTTGAAGCCCGTTTCACACGTTTTCACGGCCCGGCTTAACCTAATGCCGCCTCTGAAGACCTAGCACTATAAATACAACTTTTTAGCCTCTTGAGAGAGAGAGCCGCTTGTATCACGATTTTCATACTTAGAGATTTATTCAATCATGTTTTCTTCATCTTTATGTGTTATTGCTTTGATCATGTCTGAGTAATCCACTAGTTAGGTTGCTAGGGTTACTAATCAATGAGTTGCTTGCATGATCTTTGATTTCGATGTTTAGCTAGGGATTATCTTAGAGTCTTTGTCTCGTCTTGTGCACTTAACTAATGCTGATTGCTTTACCGCGCATCTAGTAATCCGATCTTAGGTTGATTTGAGCCTCGAAAGTGTTGTATCATTCGCCGGACATATTCTTTGACAAGCTAGGTTTCTTAGACTGCGAAAGTTGATTTACTATAACCTAGTGAACTGTATCAGAACCTTTCGATCTAATGCTTGATTTAATCACCTAGGGACATACCAAAAGTTTAGCGACTAGGTAGATTAACAAAGGAACCGGAGCCTCGAAAGTGGAATGGTTTTATATTCGTGATCTGTGTTCTAGACGGTTTTAATATCCCAATATCCCTACATCAATTCATCTATCATTGTTTCATTGATCATTGCTTGCTTCTCTGCGATTAGCCCCTGTTGACCTAGCGCTTCTTCCATTGATTTACAACCTCGTTTACTTGCTAGTTCTAGTTACAATTACAACCTCCAATCATACTTTTGTTTTAGCTTGATCCAAAATCCATAGTTTCAAAGTGTACTCAATAGCCAGTCCTTGTGTTCGATACCCATACTTCCGCGATCTGTGCACTTGCAGAGGTCTAAAGAGTTTGGTAAAACCTGACTCACATCAAAAGGACCATTCTATAAAGGTCACCCTTGTTCAAAAAGAGAGCTCCAAGTTCTTACTGTCATTAATGGGTTCCCAGTGGAGATATTAGATCAAGACTCGAATGAATTGTAGGAAGAAAACAATAAGCTGATTGGAGATTTGATGGAGTTTTCACCTCATTACGCTTGAGGACAAGCTGGGTCTTCGAAAGGGGGTATTGATAGGCCCAAAGAGATTTAACAACCGTCATGGTTGAGAAAAATAAGGAAGAAAGAGAATTGTTAAACTTCCTTAAGCTCTTAAAGAAAAAGGAAAGCTCTCTCATATAGTTTAGTAAAAATATATTGTGTAACATCCCGGTTTGTGATAAATGAGAATTGATTTGGCTACCTATGTCAATAAAGTGCACTTACCTTTCGGTCAAGGGTCCATAAGTAACTCCAGAGTTAAGCGTGCTTGGGCTGGAGTAGAGGAAGGATGGGTGACCTCTCGGAAAGTGATTTTTGAAACCGTGTAAGTGAGGCCAAAACACGGGGAAAGGTCGGGTGTTGATTGTAAGGATAGTAAACAAGTCATTAGAGCCTCTAAAAAAACGGACCGGCCGTCGGACAGGGGTGAGGCCCACGGGCCGAGAGGGTCCAAAGAGAGGGCGTGGGTGACTCACCGGGAGGAGCATTATTATTTGGTATCAGAGCCAAACCCAGACGAGAGTGTAGAGTCAAGTTGAAGTGGACTTGACTCACACCGTCAGGGGGTGACGATCCAGGTACGAAACGAGGACGTTGTGTGCAGTAGGTGGGGGTAAGTTGTAACATCCCGGTTTGTGATAAATGAGTAGAGGCTTAACAGAATTGATTTGGCTATCTATGTTAACAAAGTGCACTTACCTTTTCGGTCAAGGGTCCAGATATAACTCCAGAGTTAAGCGTGCTTGGGTTGGAGTAGTGGAAGGATGGGTGATCTCTCGGAAGTGATTTCCGAAACCGTGTAAGTGAGGCCAAAACATGGGGAAAGGTCGGTTGTTGATTGCAGGGATAGTAAACATGTCATTAGAGCTACTTAAAACTAACGGACCGGCCGTCGGACAGGGTAAGGCCCACGGGCCGAGAAGGGCTTGCGGGTCTAGAGAGAAGGCGTGGGTAACTTACTGGGAGAGGCGGTCGGGGTGTTATATATTGGCTTTATCTTTGTAATATTCATGCTGAATAATCTAGTTATAATTGGCTTTGATGTGATGAGTCTTGCCTTAATCACCATGAGACCTTGCTGCTAGTTGTTTTATCTATTTATCTAATACTTTCTATCTATTACTTCCTTTGTTTCATATTATAAGCAATTTGCCAAAATGTATCTTCAAAAAAGTGGATATATCTGGACATTATTGCATCCATATATATCCACTTTTTTTTCAGATACATTTTGACAAACTGCTTATAATATGAGACAGAGAAAGTATTATTTATTATAATCAGTGTTATTCTAATAAAGAAGAAGATTTAGGGTTTGGGTTCTTGACAAACTATTATCGAGAGATTCTGCTTTCATGATTGATGCATACGAAAATTGACCTTACAGATAATTTTTGTTTTCTTCGTGTATCATGATGTCATGTAACTATAAACACATAGAGAAACACATACATGTTTTGTTTCTTTTCTTTTTGCTTATGTAGTCAGATACAAGATTTAGATGTGTAGACAAGAAATGGTACACATGACAGTTGTCTTCTGCAAACCTTTCCTCATATTAAAATTTGGAATGTGTGTAACATGCTTTAACATTGGATCCATGACAAGATTTTATTGGTTTATTTTCAAATTACTTCCCGAAGACATGTAAGGAATGTGTTGAACTTGTAATTTAAAGGGATTTGGGATGATTTTATTTTTAGATAAATTTAAGTGATTAGAGAAGTTGGTATACTCTAACGGATTTAATGATTTTGGGGGTAATTTTGATGAAAATACTCTAAAAAATTCATCTAAAAGGATGATATTTATATTCTTATATTTTTAACTAAGTAACCCAGTAAAACACCTTAAAATCACTTAAACTCATTTAAAACATTATAATAACATTATATTTTAAACCCATTTATAAATAAGGAAATTTGGATCAATATTACACAATTAAAAATATTTTGAAAACTAACCCCTCTTTTAAAATGTTTGAAACTAATATTTTAAATATCCGAAATTACCAAAATACCCTCAGTTTTTTCAGACATAAAAATTCATTTAAATTTATTTATTCGTATATTTAAAAATTTCCGAAAATCAATATTATTTCTATTGGAAACAAAATTCAGTTATTCTAAAGATAATCATGTTTATTGTAATTAAAAAAAAACTATTATGAAGATCTTGTTTGAAATTTAAACTATTAGATAAATAAATAACATGTCTTTAAATTGAAAACATCTCATAAGCTTTTTAGAGAATGAAACCTTAGTCAATTCTTTGTTACAAAACGGTGCTGATTTTTGGAGTTTATGGAGATTGGGTGATTCAAAATAAATCATGAAATTTTGTGATGAATTAAAATAAAAGAGATAATTATTTCAAATCAGATAAGAAAATGATTGATAATATTGTTTCTGATATATAAGAAATTTTAAGATATCTAAAATTAAGATATATTTTATTTTAAAAAAAAAATTTGCTTTTAAATTATAATTTCGAAAAAACTGAATAATGGTTTTATTGTCTTTTCACTTGTTAAAAATGTTAGTTTTCAAAGTTTTTTAAATAGGGGTTAGTTTTCAAATTAGAAAAAGTTTTTAGAATTTTAAACTAACTCTCCCTATATAAAACTTCATATTTAAATAATAGAATTTGTTATTTTAATACAAATCATTCAAAATCATCTCAAATACTCAGTTAAATACACTAAAAACATTTTGGGTTTAACATATAATTTCGGTAAATAGGTTCACATAAAATTTAGAGGAAATGTATAGTTGATATTTTGACTCGAGACAACAAACATAAGAATTACCATAATTCATAACAAAACCAATCAGCATAGTTTTGATTTGTAATTGCTCTCATAATTTTAATAAATATAATATAATACGTACCTCAGATGGTTTTAAAAAAAACCACAATTTTCACGAAACAATAAATCCATGCATAGCATGGGTACTCACCAAATTATAATAAAACATGTTCCAATTTAAAAGAATATAAAATTAAATTGTTTGTTAAATTGTGTGTATATATCTAAAACTTCATATATTGTAAAATAGAGAGCATTAAATATGGAGGGAAGCTAGTACATGTTGGCTTTGATTGGTAACCTTAATATAGAGCATTACAAATTGTAATGTCTATGGTGTAACCAATCATAGAAGTATTACTCATATGATAGTACAAAAGTGATATTACAAAATAAGACAGCGAGGGTTGTAACATTGTTCTAAGTGTAATGCTACTTTGATAGAGTGGTACAAAAAGGAAGTGATAGTACAAAGTATTTTTCTTTATTTTTTAACTAAAATTTGTAAAACTGTTATGATTTTTGTGGCTAAAAAATGTTGCTCAATAAGTGACGAAGGTTAATAATAATAAATTATTGAAACTTTTGCATATAAATAAAGAAAATATATCATAGGAAACTAATTTTGGCTGTATTTGTTTTAATCAAATTCCCTTAAAATCTACTTAGTTAATCAAATTTTATATAAAGCATCCAAATAAATAAATAAGAAAACAAAACAAAAACTCACACTAGACCTAACAATAAGTATTTTTGTTTATGTATAAATGCAAAAAGTATAAGAAGAAAGCATACATCTTAATAATTATTTTTGTTCTTGTTATGAAAGTAACCTTTTTAAGTTTTGGTACAAAGAAGTATCATAACAAAACTGAAAATTATGAAAACAAATATACTAGAAAAATTGCTTATACACTCTCAATTCCAAAAAAAGTATATTTTGTAATCTGTTGGTAATTTATTTTATTGAAAATAAAATTTGATATGTTAAAATTTTAGACAGTATTTTGTTTCATATATTTTAGTTAATTTATACTGTGTTTTATATATTTTTGTTTTTATTTTTATTGAATTAACTTTGAATAAAAATATATTTATTACATATGGATTAGTTTTGGTGATTTCCAAATAAAGTGAATTATCAAACTTTTTCTGAAATAATTTTTTTGTAAACCATATATACTTTTTATTTTACTAAGTACATGTGATGATCCTTTTTAAAAAAATATATACATATTTAGTGTTATATTTTTAGAAACTATTTTAATTTTTAATATTTAAGTTTTTTTGCCAACTAATTTAAAAAATTATAATAGATTTCTATTTTTTATTATAAAACATACTATTTGTACTGCTACAATGTTACCAATCGGAATTTAGTTATGTACTATCATTTTGTACTATCTCTATTTGTACTGCTATATTTCGTACCACTGTTTTTCTTACAACTATCTTTCGTACCACTGAAATTTCTGTAACACACCACTATTCACAACGTCACCAATCGGACCCGTTATCTTTTTACAAACATCATTCTTAGGCCTAGGCATTTTTATTAATTTTCTTAATATATGTGCCAAAGATGCATTTGCACTGGTCCAAGCCATTTTTGAAAACTAGGTTTTTGACCCGCGCATGCGCGGGTCTGTTCTAATGAAATTTTAAACTGTTATATTTAATTTTTTTACAAACGCTTCACATTTTTTTTTTTGCTGTTTGTTTTTTTATAAACTTTTCTTTGTAATATACTTTTTAATTATTTTTTTACTTAACCAATTTAATTATTTTATAATTAGTCATAATAAGTAAGGTACTTTTTAAAAACATATTTTCTGTAAAAAACATACAACAGCCTTATCCTCACATTTCTTAAATTAATCCCTTAATTTTACTATTCATTAGACACTTTTTAATTTTTTATATCCATTAAAGGTCATTCGGCAAGTTTTGTACAATCCAATATTAGTCTAATACATATTTTAGTTGTTAATTTCCTTTTTAATTTTATTTATTAGTTTAGCTTTTCCAGCTCTGAGTTTATGATTTATACTTAATTTATTTATCTATTTTTTTAGTTTAATTATTTTGCATTCAATTCCATTTAATAAATTCATCTCTTTATTTTTAAATCACTGTTTTGATAGTTAAAAAGTCTCATATATTCCAAACTTTTCTTTTTCGTATCCTGTTTAATTAATAACCGCGTTTCCAATTCCCGGTTCCATTGTTTTGGTTTTTTACGGTTCGGTTTTGCTATCACATTGAAATTAGAAATGATTCGTTGTTTTTCTTCATTTGCCGACAACAAAATCGAACAATGTTTCTACCTTATTCCCACCGGAACATTGTTAATCTCATCATCGAGATCCCTCTTCTTTGTTTCTCATCTTGGTTATTTGCCTTAATCCCTCTGAGCGATTGAGACTGTCAAAACTAATTTGATCAATTGATTGAGGGAACAGTTTCTGCTTTAATCCCTCTTCCGAGACTTTATTTCTCTGTTTCTTCTACTGATTCTCTCAAGCTAATCACTTCGTGAAAGGTTTGAATTTTCCCTATTTTGAAGCCAGTTTTGTTGATGTTGAGATTATGTGTTTAGCGTTTAATATATTTCTTCCGATCCAAATTTGTGATAAATCTATAACTCTAGGTGATGCCAACTGCTCCGCCAAGTTCCAGAGACTCAGAGATGTCTAATTTTTCAAAATTGTCGCCTTTCGATGGACGTTACTGGGGTAAAGCTAATGACTTTGCCTCTTCCATGAGCGAGTTTTCTTTTATCAATTTCCGAGTACTTGTCGGGTACTTGTTTCTCACCCAAGTGAATGTTTATTATCTAATTTATGATTTTGTTCTTTTCATTTTTGTGTTGACTAAGTATTTGCGAGTTCTTTAGTTGTCTAATGCTCTTGTTTTTTTATATATATTTGGTAGATTAAATTGCCTCTGTATCTTTCAAAAGTCCCTCAAGTCACCGAAGTTCCATGCTTTTCAAAAGATGGTGATGTCTACTTGCAATTCATATTCGCTGTGTTTAGCATTGATGATACATTGGAAGTTAATAAGGTCAAGAGGGTAACATATGATGATGTGAAAGCTGTGGAGTATTTCTTGAAACAAAAGTTTGAATCACGGCCAGAGATTGCCAAAGTTGGTAAACTTTCTCTCTGTTCCACCAAGTACTTAGAAACATTAGATAATAGTCTTTAGATAAAAAGTAAAAGGATGAGCATTAGATAATAGTCTTTTAATTGAACATTAGATCTAGTCTATCTATTATAGCACGACATGTCTTTGAACTCAGCTATTGATCGTCATGGTTCATAAGTTTCTTCGTAGTTGATAAGGTGTAGACCATTGAGTTGCTTCATCCATCACGTCATGCCACTCGGAGTCTGAATCTAGGAGACCTCTATCATAGGATACTGATTTGTAATCATCATATTTTGTGTCCCCAGCACTTTGAATCTCTTCAAAACTTTCCACTTTTGACCATAGACTTCTATCGCTGTTCCATGTAATTTTTTTCAGAAATTCCGAATAAGTTATCTGATGAGTCTCTTCTGATTCTTCGTTTCTCTCCATCCGTCGTCTAAACATACTTTTCTCAACGTCTTTCTTTGATTGAACTCTACTCATAGTGAAAGAGTTATTGCCATAAAGGTCCTCGTTCTTGTCAACAGATTCATTAAACTCGCCGTTGGAACGAATCCCAAAGTTTTGACCCTCAATAGTGTAGTCATCATGGTCGGCTTGCACCATTGTTGTTTCCGGAATGAATTAGATGAGAAATCTGTGTGAGGAGAACTTGTAGCTCGTTTTGTTGATGATGACCAAAAAACTACCAATGTTGTAGACTTCTCCCGCCTTTTTCGTTGTTGATGACCAGAAAGCTATTAAACTTGTAAACTTCACCAGCCTTTAATTTTTCCTCATAGTCTCCTAGTCGATAAGATTGTATGAATGCTTTGATTGTAGTTCCCTGTATTAAATTATGGTAGAAAAGAGTATTATAAGCTGATGATGATTTAACTTTCTATTGGTAATTGGTAAATAATGTTAGTGTTGTTACCTTTTGATCGATTAGAAGCAGTCATATCGCATAAGCAGACCTCCTTTTTTAGGGTTCCTTGCCTCCGAGAAGTGGATGTCTCTAGCAAGCAGCTCTTTCTTACAACATCCTTTTGTGAGTATAAATAATATTTAAATAAATAAACAATACTCATAACTTTTTCAAAATATAAATAATATTTATTTCATAGAAATATAAAAACATAACCATAATAAACTGAAAATTTTATTTTTAAAAATACTGAAATTCAAAAAACATAAAACAATAGGTTAAAATCTTTGTTTTCTATAATTTTTATGTAACATGTTGTATTTGTTTTAATATTATAATAAAAAAAAAATATAATTCTAGTTGTTTTTGTCAAAAAAGAAAAACAAATGATTCACATATGGCATGAGGGGTTGGAGAAAAACCCAATGCTATTGCTATATTTTTACCATTTGCAATAACATATGGCATGAGGGGTTGGAGATGGTCTTATAGCCTCAACTTTTATATAGTATAGATTTTAGTTAGGTATTAAGGCCTTTTGAAATAAAATTAAGGCTTTTTGCAATTGTTCTTTGTTATATGGTCTATACTTTTATTGGGCCAGTGCCTCGACCCGAGGACCCAAACCGAACCCGACCCAAAATAGATGGATCCAAAAGCAAATGAGAACCGAACCGAGCCCTTGAATATCCAAAATATTCCAAATATAATTATATACCTAAAATAGTCAGTTATATTTAAATTTTAAATAACCAAAATATCTAAAATTACAATTGTAAACTTAATATAACAATTATATTTAGAACAAAATAATTAAAATATTGAAGACATACAAAAATCTTTAGTTATATTTATTAATATTCAATATATTTTTTTGCAAAAATTAACTAAATTTCATTTAAATTAAACATTTTTTAAATTTTATCTTATTTTTTGTAGACTTGTGTATCTGGAAACGACCCGAATCGGGCAGAACCAAACCAGACGCGACCGAAAATAAAAAATATCTTAATATTCCCTCTGTTTCAATATATAAGGGGTTTTAGAGTTTTGTTTTTGTTTCAAAATATAAGGGGCTGTGCAAAAGTAAATGTATTTTTATTACTTTTAATTATTCATATTCTGTAGATTTCTTTTTCATTGGTTGAAATGTTTTGGAATTGATGATAAAATATATTCCCTCCGTTTCAAATTAGTTGTCGTTTTGGCAAAATGTATCTGCAAATATTTGGACGTATCTGGACGTATTTTGCATTGCAGATACATCAAAATAATTGCAGATACATTTTCCCAAAATGACAACTAATTTGAAACGGAGAGAGTATTTTATTTTAAAAAATACAAAAATTAAATGAGTTCTTAATCTGTATGCCAAAACTTTAAATCCCATATATATTGAAACAGAGGGAGTAGTTCTTAAAGGAACCGACCCGTACCCAACCTAAAAAACTGAATGCCCATAACAATTTCCTTTATTTTTTCAGGGAGTTACAGACCAATATGTTTGAAATATTTCTGGTATATCGATCGTCGTTACGTTCGACAGACCACATCATCCCTTGTCCTCATAAGAACAAGGAAAATACAACTTTTATATAATAGGACGAATACCAATAAACAAATACTCCAAAAGCCTAGCTGTACCCAGCTTGTGGGTGGTGCACAAATAGATCCCTAAATTATATTCACCAAAAAGCCAAAGAGCAATAAGTGAGCAAACATAATTCGATTTGGGACCCGACAAATATAGTGTGCAACAAAACCAATTTATAACCATTCAATGATACCATCACGTTTGGTATGTGAACTATGGTTTTTGTGTGTCGCTACTCGTCAAGTACGCTTCGACCGACGCATCACGCAATCCCTTTTTTGGTATTTGAAAGATATTTCCATTAATAGTTTCCACTACATAGTGAAAAATGAAATATATGTTAGACCAGAATATCGCTTAAGGAAATAAATGATATTCCCTCTGTGATTTCAATGCATTTTTTATTTATTAATATTAATGAATAGTATATTTCAAGAAAAAATAATTAGATTTGTTAAATTATCATTGGTTAAAATTTGTAGATTACTGTAAATCACAAAATGATACATTTATAGTTATGTAATGAATTATCATTGGTTAAAATTAGATTCATAGATTTGTTGAATTATCATTAGGTAAAATAAAAATTGATGCATTTTTTTTTAAAGGGTTTTCATGCATTTATAGATTTATAGTTACATTATTTATTACTTAATAATAATGAACTGTAGATTTCAAGAAAAAAAATAATTATATTTGTTGAGTTATCATTGGTTAAAATTTATAGATTACTGTAATTTATGTGAAAATTCAAAAAAAAATCTTCTTTCAAAAACAGAGGGAGTATATGGTTGTTGGGTATGGGAAACAAAAAATATTATCGTCTTTACTTAGTTCGGTATAAGAAGCAATATTTAAACAAACTAGTCTATAGTTCTTTAACAATAACCTAGAGTCTAGAGTATATTTATGAGGTATTTTTATTTTTGAAAAAAAATATCATGGTATATTGTGGTTTTATTTTTTGATAAAGGGTCTATTGCGGTGGTTTTAGACATATTGAGTCTAGGTTCATGTTCATTGTCTGTATCAACCAATAGCCAGCATACGGTTGTTCATTGTCTGATTAATACTCCTCCTTCCTCCTGTGGACCATACAGTAGATTTGTCTTTTATTTTTAGGTGTTTTCCTTATGGACAAAACCCTTTCACGGCAGTAAGAGTCACTTGAAGCTCCGGAGCCGGAAATTCTAGAACACATATTTCCTATCTATATTTAGTTACCCCAACAGGGTTTTAGGACCCAAATAGACTCATATTACTGAGCTTTACGGCGATGAAACAAAATAGACATTTCTAGAGATTTTTGCTTCTTTGAGCTGGTAGAGCTAATTCGTGATATCTCAGTAACCGGATAGTGACGGGAATCAACGTTCTTAAAACGCGAACTCCTTACTCAATTACAGAGAAGATTCTCAGCTAGGGTTGAGTTACTTGTGAAGAAAGCTAATAAAAGAACGAGTTCTGTAAATTTCTGAATGTATTGATAATGAAACTTACAATCCTTTAAATAATAAAACCAACACCGACTTATAGTCTAAATAAGGAAAACCAAAACTTAAATCAAAACCAAAACCAAAACCGACTTTGAAATATGTAAATTATCTATATCAAATCTCCCCCATTTGAAAAACCTTGACCTCAAGGTTGAAAGGAAGGATATTTCTTATGCAGATCGACAACATAATTTGCCTAAATTTGTCGTTTGCCTTGTTATTGTTAAACCAATAAAATTTTAATATTATAGATTACAATAGCCTTTAACTTTGCTTAAAGAATAACCTATTCAATTACTTTGTATATTGTTATTTATGATCAAGAAAAATTTAATCATTTAAACTCCCTAGCAGCATCACTCTTTATAAAATAACCATCTTTGTCTCTCTGAATTACCACCATCACTTTTTCATTTTCTGTTTCCAAAGAAAAAGAAAATATCTTTTTTAAGCTTCTAATAATTCAGAAACATAATTAATGAGTAATAGTAACGTACCATTTTTTTTTGTAGATGCTCTTTTTGATAGTAGAATAGCTTTGCGCATTGCCCTTGCGTTTTTTTCCCTACTGTGTTTTGGAAAACATATAACATATTAGATTTGATCAAGTAGTGTTAAAAAATTTGAAGCAAACAGAGTTATATGCAAGAGATCAACATAAACTCAACACAAACTCAACCAACTGTCTTTCATGTTTTTTGTTTACCATGTTTGAAGCAAAGACCACATCAACAGTTATAGTAGACCACTCTATCCCAAACAGCCTCGGGAATTTTGCTTCTTCTTTCACATTGAGAAACCATAACGGAAGATTGAAACCTTTATGTGGATGTTTTTGTTTTTCAAAGAAAGACTTGAAAACTTCCTGTTGATTTAGTTGTAATGAATTATGGGAACGACTGAGAGGTTATAAATAACCAAAATTTAGGCCTTGATGTTTTGTTTGTCCTTTTTCAAGGATCACTTAATTTACCTTTTCAACAAATGTTTCCTTTTCGACAACTCTTTGCTTTTAGGATTCTGATGAATTGTTAATATTTCCTTTTTTAATTTTTGAATGAAAAGTAAGGGTTCAAATAACACAAAACAGAAGTGCCGAGTAAATTTCAATGATTTCCGGAGATTTATCTTGAATTACACCTTCATCTCTTCCTACAACAACCCAGTAAAAAAACAGCTCATCTTCTTCAGATTGAAAGAATTTAACTAAACTCGTATTTATTTTTTGAAGCATCAAATTACGAAAATCATTTAAATATTTGGTTTATAATTGGTCGTCAATTGTTAGTGTCACCACCACTGATAAAGTTATATGCAACCGTATACGTTTAGCAAATGAGATTAAGAAGATAGTAATTATTATTATAAAGAAAATGAAAAATCTATAATATATATGTAAGAACTTTTAAAATATAAAAACCTGATGAATTTCACCAGAGAGAATTCTAGATCTCTTCTTCTCATTTTTTACAACCAATTTTTCTTCGCCTCCGGTGGCGAATAGCAAAATCCTCTCCGACGATATAATGTTGGTAATATTAAAACCTGACGAATTTCTTACGCTCAACGCTGTTTCTCTTCTTTTCGTTTCCCTATTTTCATCATTGCC